AGGGCGTTGAACATATCGAAGAGGACGAAGCAGGTGAAGGTCATGGTAGTGTCGCGACGAGTGACCTGTCCGTCCCCAAGCATTTCGTGCTTGTAAACCAGCATTGTACCGACCATAATGATGAAAGCTTGGGTAAGCACACGGGCAATGAGAGGGTTGGTGAGAACTGCATCGCCTCTGCGGCGGGGAGGACGGTTCATGACGTCCTTATCGACAGACTCGACACCAAGAGACTGTGCAGGAGGGCCGTCCATGATGATGTCTGGAAAGAGGCAGTTAGCAGAGGTCGATAGAATGCAAGATGGAGGGAGAGTCTTACTAATCCAGAGAATTTGCATGGCATTGAGAGGTGACTTGTAACCCAAGCAAGTGCAGAGAAGCACGAGAGACAACCCGGCAGCGCTTGTGCTTAGCTGGAACGTCAAAAAGTTCTGGATGTTGTTGAAGATGGCCTTGCCCTCTTCGATGGCGTGAAGAATTGTGGAAAAGTCGTCGTCGGTCAGGATCATGTCGGCCGCCTCCTTGGCAACATCGGTTCCATGCTTGCCCATAGCAATGCCGATATCAGCTTTCTTGAGAGCAGGTGCATCGTTGACTCCGTCACCCGTCATCGCAACAATATCGCCACGGGACTGAAGAGCCTTGACAATCTTGAGCTTGTGGTCGGGGTTCGTGCGAGCGAAAATGGTGGTATGATCCATGGCCGCAGCCAGCTCTTCATCTGTCATGGCATCGATCTCATCTCCACGCAAGACAGATCTGACGCCTGATGTGTTGGCTGCGCCTGAGACCGGTGTAGTAACACTCATACCAAGCTGTTTTCCAATCGCAACGGCCGTAGTCTCAGCATCACCCGTGATCATGATCACCTTAACAGAGCCACGCATCAACTTCCTAATAGACCTCGAAACGCCGGGACGGGGCGGGTCGCTCATGCCAACCAAACCAGCAAAGGTGAGGCCCCTGTACTGTTCTTCGACAGTGCTCGTGGCAGGCGACTTGTTCTTGGCGGGTTTGGTGACAGGACCGCTGGCAAAGGCCAAAACACGTAGACCTCGCGAGGCCATCTTCTCGGCGGCGTCGATCGCTTCCTGACGTCTGTTGGTATCCATAACAAACTCCCGGCCATCCTTGGAAAGATAGGTATCGCAGGCATCAAGGACCTTGTCGATAGAACCCTTGATGTAGGCGAATTCCTTGTCCGATTTACCACCTTCCGAGCCGATAGTAACACCCATCCACTTGCGTTCGGAGCTAAAGGGAGTCTCGCTCACGCGAGGTCCAATGGAATCGCGAACATCGTGTTCCTTGAAGCGATCAAGCAAGTCGAGCATGGCAATGTCTGTAGGCTGGCCGACCCAGCGAGTATACGTGGAAGGGGCATTCTTTCCTTGAGTAGAGGAGAGAACGGCGCGGGCCCCGGCACCATTTTCGGTGTACTGCATAGCAAGACGGGCATTGTTGGCGATATTACCAATACGGAGGATTCTAAGCATGGCGGGGTCGGGTTTGGTCTCGGTAGCTTCATCATCGGAATCCACGTCCAAAGCGTCGTCGGTACCGAAAAACCACATCTTGACAGTAGTCATGTGGTTTGTGGTCAAGGTTCCTAGTCACAGTTAGTTTTAAAGCGTCTTTTGTGATGTCTTTTTGAGGCATACCGGTCTTGTCTGAGCACACAACATTGACAGATCCTAGAGTCTCAACCTTGGGCATCTTGCGCACGATGGCGTTATGCTTTGCCATGCGGTGCACTCCCAAAGCCAAAGTAACAGTGACAATGATGGGTAGGCCCTCGGGAATAGCCGCAACCGCTAAAGAAATGGAGATGGTGAATATTTCGAGTAGCTTCTTCCCTTGCAGCCACCCAACGAGGGAGATTAGACCGATAATGACAAAAGACATCTTGCTGAGCTGAGAGCCGAGATCGTCCATCGACAGTTGCAGAGGCGAGCGAGGGCTTTCAGTTCCAGATACACTAGTCGCAATAGTACCAAAGTGTGTGTTTCCTCCAGTAGCAAAGACAACCCCTTGCCCATATCCAGACTTCACCAATGTGCCCATGTATACAACGTTGGTCGAGTTATCTTTGTCGGCGGCAGGACCGGGGGCTCCGTGACGAGTTCGGGCTTCGGCAACAATTCTGACAGGCTCATTTTCTCCAGTAAGGTTGGAAGCATCAACTGTCAAATCTGTTGCCTTAGTAACTCGGACATCGGCAGGTATGCGATCACCGGTAGTAAACAAAACCAGATCTCCAGGCACCAGTTGCGCAGCCATGACCTTGGACGATTTCGCATCCAGAACATCCTCGGGTGGTGTAACCGAGCCAGCAACATCGCCAATATCGGACGAATCATCACCATCAACCGGTTTGGCCCCCGTATGTTTTCGTACCAGGTGCGCATGGTTAGGAACCAAATGGTTGAGTGCCTCGATGGACTTTTCGGAACGATATTCCTGAACAAAGCCTACGCTCACAACGATGGTAACCGCAACCGAAATGCTGACGGCATCGTCGACGTTTCCAACAAGTATAGACGCACCAGCAGAGGCGAGGAGAAGGAGGATCAAGGGCTCTTGGAACTGCTTGACGAATCGCAGCCAAAGGGGCTCGGGAGGATCGTGTGGGATCTCGTTCGGCCCGTAATCGTGTAGTCTCGAGAGGGCTTCGGCGGGAGTCAAGCCATGGGTCAGAGAGGTGTCGAGGTGGGTGGCGGCTTCGGCGGGGGTCATGTAGGAGAAGTCGTCAGCCACGCCCTGTTTGCTCGTCTGTCAGCGTCCCGGACTTTCACGATGGCGTGGAGCTTGCAGCCTACTCTTGATTCAGCAGAGGTAATGCGGTGTCGCGGTGTGTTACAGCCGGACCGCGACTGCTCGATTTCCTCGGGGGTCGCAAAGGTGCCCTGGCCGGGGGATTTTTGGTAGAAGGGAAGAACATCGTCATTGTCCTTCCACGCGCCGAGTCGGTCCATGATGGCGGAAACGGTTGTCGCCCGTGAGAGCTATGAGAAAGGCGGAAGAGAAGACGTGAAATGCGGAACTCAAGGTAGGAAGTCTGTAGTCCTAACAAGGCCCGGGCGCAAAGGGGCCCGAAAGGGATACGAAATCCAAGCCGAACGTCATGCACGGCTGCAGCGGCAGCACCCACTCGCAGACGGTGGTCAAGGTCGAGGAATAAGGAGCGTCCGAAGGGGTGGGCGAAAGGGAAAGGGCGGTTTACAACTAATACAGGCGAACAGAAAAGACGATCATGGCGGGGCCCTGAGAGTTGGAGACCGAAAGATTTTGGAAACGACGTACGGGATGGACTAGCTGGTATTATATTGATTGCAAGTATGCCTCCGGGCTTGTACACTAATCGGCACGTATGGGGTTCCCTTTTGCTGGATGGAGCTCGATCGAGGATCCAGACTCTCCAATTATTATCTAGACCAAGCCGATGAGGTGGCGGGTACGTACTCTCTGGCACCGCCCTGGACGCACTGCACTAGGGAGACGTGGAAGAGTGGGCGAACACTGCCGGTTCGAAGTGGTCATCCAAATGTCTCGGTACCCCACGACAGCGGCGCTTTGACCTTTCCTCCTGCTTGCTAAACTGTTTGCGGAGAAGCCCGCGCGGCTGGAAAGGGGCAACATTAAACAACAAGATTGGGATCTGGAAGCCTTTATAAAGGAGTTCCCGTCTGGATGTTGCTAGTAGCGGTACTAGCAGCTTGCGCCTCTTTGTTCCACTTGCGTACAAGAGGCAGTTTCTCCTCAAGATAGGTACCTTTTTGGATGAGATACTATCTGCTGGATGGATATCGAGCCCGCGGGTGCACCGGGCAGACATGCATGCTTGCCATAGAGGCAGCATGCACTCTCATCGAACCTCGTCCCTTTCCTTGCTGCATACTAGTACCCGGGTATGCTTTTACATCAGTACACTACATTTGCCTATACTTCCAATATACGACAGCTGGCGATATTTTCATGATGTAAGACGCTTGTCGCAGCTGGTACTCCCACCGTCCCTCGCTGCTCCACGGTTGATCCTCAAATTTGGGCATTTTCGAAAGCCGAACGATCGGCAGACAACGAATCCCCCTTTCACCAAAGTCAGGCATGGTGAGCTGGTGCGCAGTAGTGTAGTTGAGGTGACGAATACCTGGCCGGGGTGTACCATACCGAAGCTGGATCCCCTGCAGTGTATTACCTATGCAGTATGCCTTTCCCCAGTTTTAGCCACAACTAGAGGACGACTAAAGGTACGTACCCCCCATTCAGGCACACCGTTTCACCACGAACTACAGTCATCTTTCAGAACTGAATACCTTGAGCAGGTTGGAAAGATTAAAAGTCAAAGCCTGACCAATAAAATGGGTCGACTTAAGTGGACGGTTGGAGAGATTTCTTGACGTCGATGGCGTGCATACCTTGGCTCCTTGGTGGTTCCTGACATTATTACACTGCAGTAGTAAGTTGCCCTGTTCCGCAAGCAAGTCGAACAGTGAGTGAGATTCAGGTCCGGGTGTTATCAAGCCACTTCAAAACTGACCGTTTCCAAACGTGGCTGGTGAAACGGTTTCCTAGGACACCACTGCAGCCCAGCCTCTCAAATTTGGTAGCGGCGTCGGAATTTTGTTATGAATCCACTCCGTCGCTCGCCCGCAAGTACACTGCCCAGAACCCCGGTCTCAACCAGGTCGTCCAAACATGGCCCGTCCGTCAGAACCTAGAGCTTAGGTCGCTGCCGCTCTTGTGACAGATCCCCTCTTCTTCTCTTACATTATTCAGCCCGACAACAACACTAGCTTCATCATCGCCATCCAACCCTGCTGGTCGTCGCATCACAATCGCGTCCTTCGCGTTCGGTGCCTAAAGACCGTTGCTGTGCGATTCTTCGACAATTGACCCGTATGCGCTCTCTCTTTGCTGCCGCTGCACATGTGTACGAGTAGCACCCACGGCCCTCAGCTTGCAGTTTGTAATTTTAACGCGCCATTCCCTGCTGCGTTGCTGAGCTTTGGTTCCTGACGGAACGACGCGCTCTCGCTTGCCGTGTCCACACTACCCACTTCACCACCGCCACACCTATCATCAACACCACCACACCACCGCCTATCTGGGTATCGCGAAAAACCACGAGCAGCAACCGACGACGCACTGCTGCGCCATAGCTCGGTCGCTTATCAATACCGGCCTCGTCGCCAATTTGTCTCGTATACTTGCTGTTCCATTGCTACACCTAACAGCAAACTCTCGTCACCATGTTTTGGTCGGGCACCCTCCTCAGTGCCACCGGGCCATTGGCGAAAGCCTGGCTCTCGGCCAACCAAGAGCGCAAAGTCTCCAAAGTGCAGATTTTGCAGCACAACCTCCAAGACAGTGTCGATGCCATCATTGCCCCTAACGATGCACCGCTGGCCCTTCGGCTGAGCGGTCAGCTGCTTCTCGGTGTCGTTCGCATTTATAGTCGCAAGGCGAGGTACCTCCTCGATGACTGCAATGAAGCCTTGATGAAGATCAAGATGGTATGCCTAGTTTGTCTTGCTTGGGTTCCGCTCGCCTGCTAACTCGTCACAGGCCTTCCGATCTACCGGAAACCACGATATTCCCACTAACCTACATGTTCAAAACAGTGAATCTCTCATGCTTCCCGATCAGATCACGCCATACGATAACCTCGATCTACTACCACCCCCGAGCGCCGACTATTTGGCGTCACAGATCGAAGAGGTTACTGGCGCTCCTATCATGGCTCGCAAGGTGCAAGTCCGTGCGAGTCAGCGCGATATCAACCTCCAGGAAGACTTCAACAACAGCCAGTTTCTGAACAACACCATGATCGACGAGGAAGAGCTTGCCCTCGCCAACAACGACGACCTCGGCTTGGAACTGGACTTCGGTATGGATATTGACGAGAGGCCAAGCAAGTTTATGGACACGACGATCGAAATGGGCAGAGACGCACCTAATGCTAGAGCCGTTGAGGACGACATTTTTAGCGAGTTGAGTGCTGGGCCCGGGAAGCAGCGCGGGACCCGCGAGCCGTCACTAGGACTTGATTTGGACTACGGCGATGGCGTCCGGATCGCCGATGATGAGGGAGATATCCAAATGGGCGATGACGACCTCCAGTTCAACGTCGCGGACCACTCCGAAATTCCCGAAGGCCTTTCTACCCCAGGTGCTCCGGATATGGCTCGTACTCGCATCTCCGAGTCTCCCTTGTCGGACATCGATGACGAGTTTGCCAAGGAGGTTGAGATGGAATACAGCCGCCACAACAACTCAGACATGTACGAACCCGGCGAGGACCCAACTGCAAGCACGATAATCGCACCCCAGAGGTCGAAGAAGAGAAAGCTTCTTCAGCCTGATGAGCAGACCATGCTCTCAAATGCCCAGATCAAGGAGCAGCAGTCGAAGCGCGACAACATCCTTAAGCCGCAGTCTTTCGGTACCCAAGATCCCTACCTGATGGCTTTGCTCGACTTGCAAAAGAACGGAGCGTTTGTCAGCAGTGTTCTCCTCGAGAACCGGAGTGATAGCTGGGCTGACGAACTTTCGGACATGTTGTCTCTTAGCACTTTCCGCCCCTTTGATCTGAAGAGGAAGCGGGATAGTGCGATTGCTGACATGGAGGCGGATGACGAGGACGGCACGCGCAAGTCGCCCCGCCTCGAGCTTCCCGATGACGAATCTACGGTTGTCGGCCGTGCGGAGAGTATCAACGGCAATCAGAGTGAGACGGCCGAAGGCACGGAGATTGAACTAGCTGCAAACGACGATGGCGCTGTCTTCCATGATGAGGACCAGGAGCGACCTGGCTCAAGGAATGCCAACAGCCCGGTCCCCAATTTTGACGAGACCATTGCCCCCATTGTGCATCCCGCCGACAGCGGTCCGATTTCGATCGGGACCAAGCACGCGGTCCACATTCTCCGTGATCTCTTCGGCGCTGAGGCCGCTAACAACGCCGATAAGCGCAAGAAGACCGCTGTTGTGTTCCAGGATCTTTTGCCTGAGGGCAGGACGACCAAGGCCGATGCCACCAAGATGTTTTTTGAGTGCCTGGTGCTTGCGACCAAGGACGCCATCAAGGTCGAGCAGAAAGAGGGCGCGCTTGGCGGTCACATCCGTATCCGCGGCAAGCGCGGTCTCTGGGGTGACTGGGCTGAGCGCGAGGCTGGTGGTGAGATGGCTCAACAGTCCCAGCAACAACAGCCTATCAACCCCGACGAGCCCCAGCCTTCGATCGAGACCGCTGCTCAGCCGATCGAGGCCTCGGCTTAAATCCCGAACTTTGTAGAGTTGGTGTCGGTTTTGTCAAAGGTTTATGACCAACTTTTGAGGCACATACCCTGTACAAAAAAAATCATCATTTCTCTTGCTGTGGTGGTTACGATATCACTTTGTCAAGTCTTGTTGGTCAGTCATGGATGGGGGAGAGGAAGAGGAGGATGAGAGTACGAGAACGGAGAGGAAGAAGCGTGGCGGCTATTCTGTATTTCACTCTTTGTCTCTTGATGATGTCTTTCCTTTATACTTTTTTTGTTTTTGGTTCATCGTGTCGATTGCCTCTCTTCGTCTGGCATTTTATATCTCTCTTGTTTGGTCGTTGTCGTCAACAGCGACCAAGTGGCGTTTGTGGCGCTTCCGGATTTTTTTTTTCACGCTGGATACATTCCATCGTGATTACTTTATCTTCACCGGTCTGAAATGATACTCTTTTAGTTCAGTTGTGTCTTGCTGGGTTCCCTTGCTGTTTTTGGTTATGTGTCCGGAAAAGTTGGAGGGAGCGAGAGCGTACAGTTCAGATGGATAAAGTAGGAACGAACGATGAATGGTGCGATAGTTTCATGCCTTGTATGAAAAGCAGAAGGGAACATTGAATGAAATCATTTTGGCCAAAAATGCTTTGGGATTGAAGGCCCGTCTTACGCGTGTTTGTGTTGTGACTGCACCCACTGGCATCATGGAAAGTTTCCATATTATCGAAGCAGACGTTTACTACTGAGTCGTAGGCTATGAATTGCCACAGTCAAATTAAAAGGTTTTGGGTAATCGAAACGGACACCTGAGGCGTAGCTATGAATCGAGAACAAAAGCACTGATATGTGAAGTTTGAGATAAAGAGAAGCCTCTGGTGAAAATCGCATCCTTCTTGTGATTCGAGCCCTCCATTTGCTTCCATCAGGGGCATCTGACTACAGCATTGCTTCCTTCCCTCTTCTCATGTCGTTCCCTGCCCAAAGATATAATACGAGACCACTTCGTCTTACCGACAAGCGGCACCCTCGGTGTTCCCTAAGGTGTAGAACCACCTCTTTTTTGCACCAACCGGTATACTCAGGGGCTAGAAAGCCGGAATAAAAATAACAATAAAAAAGATAAAAAATCTGAAGTATGGTGCTTCGATGATCAAGTCAAATAGCGAGGAAAGAACAAGAAAGGCGACATTAGCAATGAATCGCCGAAGTACGAAGCACACTACGCTTAAGCTAGAGAAGAGAGGATAGACACCTTCTTCGAGTTAACAACGGCATCCAATCTCGAAGAAGCCGCAAAGCAAAACATTTCCGAGCTTCTGAGAGTGTATATGCACCCATCGTCAAGGGGTAGTTATTTTCCAACATCCGAGGTGCTCTTCCATTATTGTGCCAAACGTCTCGCTACTCAACCAAGGAATCAAATCACAATTACCACCCACCACCACCACCACCACCCAGCCAACCTCATATAGTCGTATACCTATGGACATGATCATGCTCACCAAAACAACAAAGCCGCTTCCTACATTGGCTTCTGCCTCTTATCCTCCACAACGGCTATCTCCTTTACTTCCTGCGTCTCCTTCTCCACGCCCGAGTACTTGTTAATCCATGCCAGGACTTGCTCATGCCAGACAAGACTATTCTCTGGCTTCAGAACCCACTTTTTTTGGTTTTCGGTCGCCGTTGGTTAGCATCAACGATTTCTTTTGCTGAGTTTGTTATCCCGTTGAGATTGAGAAATGAGCTGTGGGAGGTGAGGGAAAGTACTTGGGGGTAAGCGAAGGCAAAGCGCTTGCTTCACTTGCTTCATAACTCTAGGCTTCTTGAGCGCGTTGTAACGAGGAGGAGGAGGAGGAGGAGTGGTGGTCGCTGCTGGGATTTTGAAGGATCTAGATCTTGCCATTAAATTAAGGGAGTGACTGCCACTAGACTGCCACTAGACGGAAGTTTCGATTGAGTATCTGTTCATAATAGATGTTGCTTACGTGGTTCTCATCGGGAAACATGACTAATTTGCTAGGAATTCCCTTGGACTGGAGAATGTTGAAGGGCGCGAGGCCTTCGGTTATGGGGAGGCGATAATCGAGTTCGCTGTGGATGAGCTATTTCGGAAGGCATGTGTGGTTAGTATGAGTGCCAGGCAGCCCCAAGAAAATGATGATGATTGTTAAAGAGTTGAACTCACCAATTGCGGTGTGGCCCACTCGTTCACATGCTGAGCGGGATCCCACTTCTCGTATCCGGCGCGGTTATCGTAAATGGTCCCCTCGAAGTCGTGGATGGGGAAGAAAAGCTCCTCGGTGCCCCACTGATTCAGGGTGCTGAAGACACCGTCGTGACAGACGAGTGCCTTGAACTTGCGTCCGAGAGGGTGGCCTTGGATCCAATCTGTTTGCGACGAGATATTAGTACCCATCCACGGTCCTTCATCGCCTTTGGACATCCCCGGAGTAGCTCACTGATCATATAGCCACCATAACTAGCACCCAATGCGACCGCCCTGTCCGTATCTACGTACGGCATCTTCTCCTCAATGTGCTCAAACGCTTTGACCAGATCCTCATACGGCCTGCCACCCCACTGGCCCTTGATTCCGTTTTGGAGAGCCATGCCATAACCCGTACTTCCTGTCGGATTCGGGCTCACGACGACGTAGCCTTGCTCCGCAAAGACGGCCGGGTTCCAGCGGTTGCTCCATCCGTCTTGCCAGGCACCCTGGGGGCCGCCGTGAATCAGGAAACAAAGGGGGTACTTCTTCTCTTCATCGAAATTCGAGGGGCGGACCACGAGCGCATGAACGTCGTAATCACCAGCCCCCTTGAATGTGATGTCGCCAATGCTCGACCTGGACAGACCGAACGTCTTCCCTTGCTTAGAGTTCGACGAAACGATATCGGTGGTGTTGGCGGATGGGTCGACGATACTGTAGCAGCTATTATCAACGAGAGAGGTACTAGACACCAGGAGCTTTGACGAAGAGTCGGCCTCGCCGAGGAGTCTAATATCGTTAACGCTGCCGTCTGTGGTCTTGATTACCGAGGGAGTGTCCTTGGCATCAGCTGGGTTGGAAGGGACCTCCCATAGGTGGACACGGGCGTTCTTCTCGGCTGTCACATAGAGCGACTTGTCATCCGCGCTCCAGAGAATAGTTTCGGGGCGATAGTCCCACGCTCCTTCGCCGTCATCCGTTGCGAAGAATTCTTCAGTTTTGCTCAGATCGCCAATATCAGGTAAAAGCATCAGACGGGGCTTGTCGGATTCATATTGCTTGCTGCGCATCCGGGTGAACGCCACCTTGCGACCGCAGTGTGAAAAGACCGGACTGTTGGTGTAGCCTTCCAGGCCAGGTGTCTCGACAATCTGGGGCGAAGGTGGCTGCTCCTCGGTGAAGGTCTTGAGGGGAACATAGTACAGGTCGGTCTTGGTGTAGAGGGCAGGGTTGAGCTCGGGGTCCTTCGCAACAAATATCAATCCCGTGGGGCTGATATCAAAGTCACCAGTGCCTCCAAAGGGCGGTACTGGCGATTCAAGCTTCGACCCTGCCAGGGCGTTGACAAGACCGTGGCCCGTCAGCGTAAAGCGACCGTTCTTCTTCTCCAACGCAGTATACCAAAGCGAGTTCTTGTCCTCTCCTAGCCACTCGTCCCAATGGCGGACAAAAAGACTAGTATAGACCTTGGCGCTTGAATATGGCTTCTTCGCCGTGGCGGGATTGGAGAGCTGTCCATCAGGGGTAGCGGAAGCGGAGCACACAAAAGCGACGGTGCCGTTTGTGAGCTCTTTGATCTTGATGTTCGAGATCCGGGCCTTGATCGTGGTGACCTCGTATGCTCTAGATGCTATGTTTAGCAAATTGTGAACTTGTTCATCATCAAAGGGTTCTCCTACTGAGATCCTGGGCGCGCGATCTTGTCCACCAAGACGGTGGTGTTGCCCTTCTCACCACTCTTGAGATAGAGGAACTCGTCGTCGCCAATCCATGTCGGTTCGCTGGCGCTTAAGTCATCGACAAGGAGTGTTGACTGGCCAGATTCAATATCCAGAAGTCTGATCTGGGAAGTCTTCCTGTGTGTTTCGAACGAGTACGTGGTCACCTTTGTGTCGTCAAGGCTCTGGTCAGCGACGGGACTTACACACATCTCCCACCCACCATTTCTCAGATTCACATGTACTCCATCCACATTTTTGTTATGCGTTTCGCGACTCCATCTTGTACTCAACCCAACTTACTGTAAAGAGCGCCTTGGTGCCCTTGGCGTTGGGAATAGCTGGTGAACGGCGTGGCGCTGTCAGCAGTACCTCGGGCGTGAACTTGGTTGCTGTAAGAGTCATGTTTGATACTGCTATTGATATATCAGAGGCATCCGCGCCAGGAAAGGCTGATATGAGAAGGATGCAAGAAAGCACCAAGTTCCAAAAAGGGTGAAGAAGTAATAACGACCACATCCCCTCTTTTACGTCTAGGCATCTGCTACTTTATAAGGCATACACCGATGTAGCTTCTACAGAGACAAGGCGCCGTGAGGGTTGCAAGCGGGCTGCTTCCGCCGTGAGGGGTAGCCTCCGTCGCTGCCAAGGCATCGAGGGGAAGTTGTGACCCCACCCCACCATGGTGTAATTGACAGCGCTTAGTTTACCTCGCTCGTCATATACGTAATACACATGTTGTGCCTTTATTCATTCTGCAGTGATTCTCATCGGGAACTTCACCGGCCGGAAGCTTGCTAATGTGTTTTCAAGGCCCTTTCGTGAGCCGTGGTTGGCAGAAGGAAGTAGAGTTCCGGCGCGCTCGACGAACGACTATCGCTTGACGTCCAGGAGGCCCCATGGACAAAAGTGAACGAGACCATTGAGATCATCGCGACGCAGCGCAGACCACTTCCCAAGTTGAGCAGCAGGGGCAGCCAGCAGGTTGATGCCAACCAAGGATGCAGGAAAAGAACACAGTTGTAAATAGACGCGAAGCGAGACGGAGGGAAAACAAGCGCGCTTTGATGCAATGTTCAGGTACATTCTTCTTCACGCCCAGAGCCGAAGCCCAGAAGTCGCAATGAAAAAAAGTTTGATGGAAGCGCGTCAGACTTCCATCGACACCCACCCCGCCAAAGCGCCCGAAGGCAGACCTCTGGAAATCGGGGTACAGATCATCGCCACTCTCTATACAGTCGCCGTGAAGCGACCGCCACCTTTGCAGGCAGATCGAGAGTAAATAAGGACCTCACTGTTGGGCGCCGAGGATATTGATCATCAACCGCGGTGGGATCTGTGGCTCCTTTAGGGAACACAAAAGAGGACAAATACTATAGAAATGATTCTCCTGTAAAGCGCGGTGTGGTTAGTGTCATGCGTTGAAAAGTGCATCTCCCTAAGTCTCAAAGGTAGGGGGGGGCTTACTGAAGTATTGTCGACATGAAGAAAAAAAAGAAAAAGAAGAATGGAAAGGAGGGAGGGAGGACCATTCTTTATACCCTCCTAGGAGGTGCTGCACCCGGTCTGTGCGCACCTGCAAATTTTCATGGACTGCAATTTTCTGTGGGCCGTTTCAGTCCACCCAATCAGAGAACAGAGTGGGCGCCACCCAAACCCGCCGCAGCCTGCCGTCCCGTCAGGACCGATAACTCACATGCTGGCAGTTGGCAGGCCACATAGCTTCTGGCACTTGCACTCAGCTCTCATAGAAGACCTCACGATCTCGACATCAAGTGTGCAAAATAATGTTGCCATATCAAATGTCATCATCTCAACTTGGTCAAAAGATTTCACTAGCTTCCCCTGAAAGCTTACTTTACCGGGGCGTAATAGTGAGACCGCGAGGGTTCGTGGACAACGCATCTACTCTAGGCTTGGGATACAGAACCTGCAAATTGAGGGATGCTACAGTACCGTATGCGATGCTGTCCCAACTCCGGCTCCCGTTTTTTGCGCTCGCTTCCTCAAAAAGAAATCAAATTTTTTTTTTGACAGGTCATCAGCTACTGACAGATAATAAACTCGCTGTCTCGATGACTTATCTCGAATGTCGGATAAAATTGATATCAATGCCCGTCCCCAAACGCCGCGCTTTGCTTAATCCATTCAACCCATCCAGGCAATCCAAAAACGCCATGTACCATCCAATACTGCCTCCTATGCAGGATCGAGAAACCCTCACGCACAGAAACCCAACCGCAACCCAGATCGAACTCTTCTCACCCGTGGCCACAGCAGATTTACTTGCGAACAGCCCCAAAGTTCGTCCTCGCCTTCTTCGTCTCTCTCGAATCCGTCTCGCTATCTTCAACTCCCGCACCACCTGACGTCGCCGCTTTTTTCTTCTTGGAGTTCGCCTTACCGGCCGTGGCCGAAGTGGGCGTGGGCGCACTTGATGCGCCGTCCTTGTTATTGAACGATGTAGAAACCGGCGTCGGCGCGTGGGAAGCCGGGGCTGAAGAGGCTGGTGTTTGTGATTCTTGTTGCTGTGGATTTTCCAAACTAGTTAGCAAAGCAGAGTTCTCCTGTGATGGCCAGCCTCAATCAGGCGTATTCGAAATGTGAAGAGTGAATTGCATTACGGCAGGATGCGAACGAGAGGAAGAGGACGGTGATGGTGGACGGGAAAGCGTCTGTCTGGGTGGAAGGGTGGAGAAGGAGGGAAGAGAATACAGAACGACGCACAGCCGCCGGATTATACGATATCGAACTCCTGGAGAAAACACGGTTCGCGTCTGTCAATCCCGTCTTCCTGCGCTGTGCTGCGACGTTGGCGGTGCCTTTGGTGTAGTTGTCGAAGCCCGTAATGATGTTGCCCGCTGGCGTGTTTTCGAGATACTCGGTTTCTTTTTGGTAGATGGATTCTTCTTGCGCAAGCTGTTGTTTTGTTCTTGATCAGCGGGCGAGTCCGACGTTCGTGGCTGTGACCGACGGCAGTCCTACCAGACGTTTTTCCAAAAGCTTCTTCTTGTTCAGCAGCTCTTTGAGATGCTGTCGCTGCTTTTCGTAGTATGGGATACCAGCTGCGCCGTCTGCCGCGCCCATTTTGGGACCCGAGTTATCCATCATTGCAAGTGCGCCAACTCCAATCCGGTCACGGGTCGCTTGTTATGTGTGAAGTCTAATGATGTTTTTGGGGAAATGCCGTTGGTGTTGCGCAGTTCGGAGGGTGTTGCAGCGCGTTCGAGACGCTGCGATAATGGATAAGGTGGATAGCTCTTTAGCTCATGCAGGTAGGTGATGAAATGCAGGCTTGGCAGCAGGCGCACTGGCGCAAGCGGAACACAACCTGGAAGCCTTAAGGAAGTACTCTTGTACTCTTTTTGTTTACATTGACCACCAGCCCCTGAACAACGAACGACTGTTTCCATCCAAGAACTCAGTCCCCTCATCTCCAGCTGTTCATCTTCTCTTAACATCATTATTGGAACCTAATATAAAGGATTTCAATGTGGTTGAGAGTTGAGGCAGAGAGGTCTTTATTTTCAGACATATCACCTTTCTTCTACGTCCAAGAAAGGCATGGCATCAGACACTCTGGTAGGAGCGCGTTAGCAATGGCGGCACAGCTAACACTTTGACTACCAAAGAAGGTGTGGTCGGGGTACTTACACCAGGATACTCCCAATCGAAATCGACTCCATCGAGCCCGCACTCTTGGACAAAGGCAACCATGTTGTTCTTGAAGGTCTTGCGGTTTCGCAGGCAGGACAGCGTTGCCTGGGAGTGTGGTGCGGATTCTCAAACCCTCACCAATTTCCGCAGTAATCATCCCACTCCTCCTGTCCCTCAAACCACCGTGGTGGAAGCCACGCTACCAACGGCGCATCAGTGTTAGGGTTGATGCGCGCTCCCTCCTTTCTAAAGTCACTTCACAGCCCGTATCTCGTCCCATCTGGTATCAATCTCAAAGGATGTCTTCGTCTTGCCAGTTTCCCCATCGACCAGCAAAACCTTTTCCATGCTCAAGGGAAACCGGTCTCCTCCGCTCCATCCCAGTATTAGTTCTAAACCATCCAGACAGACCACGTGGGCCTCTCGGACATTGGCAAAGCTTCGAAGCTCCTTGGATTCGAAATGGAAAAAGCCTTCGTCGCGTTCGCGCGCAAACTTGATCGTTACCTTAGTACCAGATGTGGGACACATACCAGGGAAAGGAAAAAAAAAAAAAGAAAAAAAAAAGACCCGGATTGTTGGATTGACTACTACAGATCATAGAGGAAGTGGAAGTGCATATATAGCCTCAATGAACACGGTTCCGACCATTGTTTTCTTCACATACTTACATTTGTTACGTTCTCCCATGTAATGCGTGTATTTTCCACTATTCCTGACCTTGCCTGGGCTTTCCCTTGCGGAAAGATTCATTTTAAGTATGAACGATGAGTTGACGTATCCAAAGACGCTCCCGCGACCCGAGCAGTCTCCCAATTCAGAGTGTGTAGCATATTGGCATGTTTGGCCTGCTGATGCTGTCCTGACATGGACCACTCAGCAGGTAATGGTTCGGGTGCTGCACCCAATTCATGATCAAGTGTGAGAGCAGTTCAGATATTGCCATCTTTTCATCATGAAACAAGCTGGCTTGCCGTGGTCTAATTCAAAACCTGCCGGCATCTTACTGGACTCATGGTTGACGTTCTCGATCAGCTCTTTGCCTCGTGTTCTGGAATTCGGGGCTCCTCAGGACAAGTCGCAACCACTCTGCATCCTTTTGCGAGACCGCACTGGGCTTCCGTTCCAATGCTCTCGAAATCTTCATCCACCGCTGCATGGCTTCCAGGCTCATCGTAACAGGCTCGCCAGGCTCGGCGTATGAATCTCTGAACGATTCCCCTGGACCGAATCCCTCTCGGAGACGGGGGTCAAGAGGGGGATCGTTGGGTCGGAAGTCAGCCCCGCTTCGATCTTCCGGTTCGTCCCATAACGGGTCGAACTTTCGGCATATGGCGTCTATTTCTCTATCGTCTTCCATCATCTCTTCAAATTCCGAATCGACCCATTCCTCATCTTCTGGTTCTTCAAGAGATAACTCATTCAGCATAGGTCCCAGAAATCTGTCTTCGGGGTGAGAAAGCATTTTGTCGTAGTCCTGGATAGTTTCGAGGAAAATAGTCACGTCCTTGCGATAGGGTGCAACCGCCTCTTTGTACACTTTGGAAGCAAGGACCAGGAACTCTGTCATCTTGCTTTCTCCTCCCACGGGGTCGAGCACCGTAGAGAATATGTAGCCCACCACGAAGGGAAGCTGATGCTCCCTCTCTATCCAACCTGGGCCGGCGACTCGGCGAAAGTACGGGTCCACGGCGCCTTCGAGACTGCGCAAAAAGTCCCAGCATTGTCTGTGCATTGCAAGATAATCGACTGAAGTTTCACGGATTTCGGCTTCAATGTCAAGGGCCAGTTGGTGGATGAGTTGCGATGGCGTGGCCTGAGGTGTTTTCTGTGGATTCTGACTTTTCTTGTTGAGGATCGCTTGCACATCATCCACAGAAAGCTTAATTCCTTCCATGCTTGGCCTGTACTGATTATGAAACATGGAGGATACCTTACCTTGAGCCACAAGAGAGCGCGGGCCTGCTTTAGTGGGCACGAGCTTCCGTGTCTTGTTTCTGGTGCTTGCGATAAAGCTCGTTGCTGAGAAGCCCATCATCATGCAAAGCTGTTTGTGGTAGCTGTCCCGCTCTGTGGGTGCCGCGCCAACAAAAAATTTGTCTTTACCGCCTTGCAAACGATAGAAGAGATCCATGTCGTCCCATTTCGCAGCGTCGTCGATCAGGTCCTCGTTACATAAGGCATTGTAGAGATGGCCAGTGTAGAGGATCCCGCCCCAACAGCGCTCGAATTGGGTTGCAAGGAGGTGATAGGTTGTGCGGATGTAGTGAATCCAGAGACCGCAGAAAAGCGGATGCATCTTGAGAAAGGTGTGTTCTTTGTTGTTACGGGAGGTTAGGAGTCCTGTGGACTCGATAACTTTGTAGAGTGGGTTTTCAGTGAACCAGCGCGCCTCATTTTGGAGTTTGATAAGTTGTCTGTCGCCGTGCATTTGCTCCCAGCCCTCTGCCGTACACAGTTAGCAATGGCTTTGTAAGTTCTGGGGACTGAAAAGGCAGTTCGTACTGATGGTCAAGTTCTCGTAATACTCCAAATTTTGGGTGATACTGTCATCGATAGCCATATTGTACCGCATCATGGCCCAAAACGGCTTCTCAGACTGCCGTCCCAGGACGCGACGTACATCAAGATGAATGGTGGTGGCAAACGCGAGCCAGAAGGGTAGAACCTTCTCTTTCCTGGTAAGGAGAAGGCGAAGCCCGCGCAAGAGTTCGTCCTCAACGGGCATATCGGAATACAATCCTTCCGGGAGGGCATCAGGCGGGGTGGTGTTAAACCTTCCCATGAGATCGAATTGGGGCGCAACCTCCAAGAAAGCAGCTTTATCTTGCTGCCATTTGACGTCCGTCGGTGCCGAATCATAGTCGATCGTCAGATCATACCAGCCAAACTTGCCGTTATAAGTCACCACCTCGCTTGACGCCCTTGCCTGGCTGATCCATGCTTCGAGAAGAATGAAGGCAATGGTCATGGACTCGTCCAGCATGGGAAAGGCGCTGAGATTTATGTCACAGCCTGGAGTGCGCTCGGTAACATCAATGCCCTGACTACTGGTAGCCATTTGACAGTAAAACAGTGCCCAGTCTTTGGCGTTCTGTTTGTCTCTGTTTAAACGGACGCTATCAGCAGCATCTTCCTCCATAAATCGGGCAATATTGATGGCCGTGTTTGTAGCAACGGCCACGGAAGGCAAAGACAGCTCGCCCTTGGCATAGGCAGCCCATAGACTTCTGACCTGCATCCGGAGAGCGCGGACATCGCGGAAGAGGGTAGCAAAGGCGACGAGAGAGGACGCAGAGTCTTCAGCTTCATAATCAACAATGACGCCCTCATCGACGGGTTCCTTGCCCTTGGCCGCGTCCTTCGAGTTTCCTGTAGAGTCTCCTGCGAGGTCAAAATTGGGAGCATCATAGAATTCGAGAAGATCAAATGGGTTGGTGCTAGTTGTTGTCTTGGGTAGCTTGGGGAGAGCCCTCCTGACCCAAGAGTCTTTGAATAGAGGCTCGAGGATATGTCGAACCTTCTCTAAGACTGAGACGAAGTAGGAGTGGTTTTCGTTGGACTCTAGCTTCAGGGCGCGGCCATGCTCCTGGAGGAGCCGGGCAAAACCTTTGCGCACCGTGATGGCGCGCTCAATAGCAGCGGGAACAACGGCCGGAATCTCAACGACCCTTGCCTCACTCAACTTGGTACCGATGAATTCGGCGAGCGGCACAAAGTTTTTGAGCGCAAGCACATACTTCTGCCTCTCCGAGAGGCCTTTGGCCTGCCAGTGCGCTTCTGCAGCAGCATGAAGCTTTGCCGATTTTCGGGCTTTGCCCTTGAGGCGAGCGCTTTTGAGGTTGGGATTTGCGGGAGAGGCCGAGTTGGAAGCGATGAGTTCGGCGGTGCAGCCCAGCGTCTTTCCGGTCTGGGCTAGCCATGAGGCCACGACATCAGTGTCGTGCTTGTATTGGCGATATGTACTGTAAAGATTGCTTGGCAACATCATGACCTATCGGAGAAGTTGAGGTGGTCCGGCAGGTTCATGTTTGGTGGTGGCATTGGTGGCAGGCGAGATCCATCCCGAAAAGGCAGATGAAGAGTAAATACTGAGGTATACGCTAACAGCCACTAACAGACTCACATACAGGATACGCGGAGACCAGTTATTAGCTCTCTAGAGGTCGTGCATACCACCACCACTACCGGTACCACCTGCACGAGTCGCGACGAAGCTGCAGTGTTTTTTTTGTATCCAACTCTCCATCCTGGCACAGCAACCACTCTTGTGCAAACAAAACAACCACGTCCATCCGCGTGATTCACCACAAAATTTGCCATCTCAATCACATCCCTTTCACCTTGGACCCTTCTTGATCCCAGTCGACAGATATAGGTTCGTGGTTACCCGAAAACTTCTGGCCACCAAACCACAGTTCGAACCTTAAATCAGCCGGCGCTACAATCACTCTGACATCAAATTGACAGATGTAGAAAGTGACCCCGCGGGACCAGCAAGTTCCTCTCTTGTTGACTTTGACAAGCTGGTCTTGCTGGACTCCATTCAGATTGCTTTTCACCTCGCAGAGCTTATACGCTCCATCTGCAATGACTGTCAGCCAGGGATTGACTACATGACCGTGGTGGGTAGCGGATACCAACCTTGCTTCATGCTACTGGGTAACTGTGACGGAGCATTGTGAGAGATGACGATTTGAGAATTCCATGCCCTGGTCGTCTCCGTTGCGGCAAGCCGGATCTGAAAGGATTTGACCAAGAACGCGTTGGGGTTTACTTGGTCACCCTTTTTGATGAGCCACTGGATTTGGTTCAAAGCCCATTTCTTGCCCGGCTCAAATGGGTCGGGGCGGACGTCTTCGTTGAGATGCATGGCGGGTACATAAATCTCCTGGACAATGACGCCGTAACTTGCTCGAGCAATGCGGGTTGACAATACCGAGGTGGCTCCTCCCGATTCCCATCTCTGTTGCCGGTCAAGAAGAAGGCCTCTCACCACCACCAACTGAGGGTCATTGCATGGGATGACTGCCACTTGGTCGCTCGCATTGGGATGTTGGTGGACGAGGAACCGCTGCTGGAGCTGGTCACGGACGTAAGCTGAGCTGCCCAGGCCGCCCGAAAGGACCATGTAATGCACCTGGTGCAAGTGTCCCATGGTTCTGAGCCATTCTAGCTCGCCCATGATTCGGTTCACGATGCCCTCAATTTGCGGGTCAAACAATGATTGCATTTCTTGACTGTTCCGAGGTTAGCCGGTCATCCTTGGAATCACTAGACGGCTTTGCCCGACAAGAGATACTCACAGCGTGAAAACCATCCTCCCGTTCTCAATCCCCAGCCCGGCGTGGCTAAAGTTATAAGCCAACCCTTCGATTGGAATCCTGAACAGCTCTTGCATGTATGCCCTTTCGCCAAACTTGTGCTTCACTGTCCGAAACTGGTGGCTTCTCGCCAGGCGCAAGGGCAAATCAGGAGGTATATGAGCCGCAGCATCCGAACAAGCTTCCAGCCTCCGTTGCACCAAGCGCATAAACAACCGGTCGATCAGTGTAGCTCCTATCCCTACACCGTTGACGGCATGCAAGGAAGCCATCTGCGGGACTGCCATATTCAAGGAGGTAACCTGCATCAGAGCCAAATCCGTTGTTCCGCCACCGGCATCGACAGTGAGAAAGACACTCCCCATACCAAAGCTAACGGCACTCGTTTTGAGCGTGGCCACAGCCGCCGCCTCGGCTTCGGTCAGGTCGACCTGGGCTGAGTGCTTCGGGCCCTCAACCCCAAACCCTGCCTCTCTGATCACCTTCTTAAATGAGTTGACGATACTTTGACTCGTCCAGGTGGTGGGAACGCTAAACAGGAACTCGACTGCCAGGTCTGTCCAGCCGTTCCCTACCCCACGTCGTCCAACCTGCGTCTCGATGGACTCCCTGACGTGGACATAGACCTGCCGGAGAAAGTCGGTCACGAACTGTTGCGCTTCGTAGACACTTTGCGGTGCGCTGGTGAGGCCTTGCTGCTGCGCGTCTGCTAGCGTATCCGCGTCCATGAAGATCTTGAAGAATTCCCGGCGTAGTTTCGCGCCATCAGGAACCCCAGCTTCAAGCTCGTCGTCGGCACACATGAAACCCCATGACGAGAGAGTCCCATTGGCGTTGTAGACCAGCGTCGTTGGCACCTTGCGTTCGCCTCGGTCACCGCTGCCGGGCCAGTCACTGATCACTTGGATGGGGGTCTTGGGGGTCATCCATGCCACGCCCGTATATGTTGTGCCCAGGTCGACAGAGACAACAATATCCGGGCTATTTGGGTACATGTTGAGATGGATATGGTGGACTGCTTGGTGTTTGTCAAGGCAAGCTGTGCTGAAGACTGATTTTTGAGGTAAATGTACCTTTTGCATTGAACTTGGGTTTACGTTAGGCTCTTGAACTTAACGTGCGTGGAAGACGGCCTGAGCTAGCATGTAGTTCACGACCTGATATGGGAGGAAGCCAAAAGTCCGAGGGTACATGCATCACGGAGGCAAAGTTCCACACGTAACGGAACCAGCAGGAGCTTAACCCTGTATGTCTCCTTGAAGACAACAGAAAATGAAAGGTTGGGCGGCCAAAAGTGGTCTAGATCCGTTTCCGACATCATGACCGGCTGATGGGAGTGGTTGCCCAGGAATTGTCATGCACGTATCCGACAGAGACAAGGCCGCCAATCGCTGGATGAACAGATGCGACTGACCGTTCGCGAGGGTCTGCTCTACCTACGTATTGCCATGATTCCATTCTTGAACATGGGGAAGATGTGGCACGAATATTATCAGTCAGCTTTGTGGCTGTCCAGCTGAAATGCACCGGACAATACTATGCAGGTGTATCACACAGTGTGTGGATTTTCTCCTGGGTCGACGAGGCCCTGGGCAGGTGTTTCTTCCTGAAGATTTCCTATCTTATTGAAAGAAATCCATCCTCCGCCCGGTCATACCAGTTGCAAAGGATCAGTCACTCCTCGGAGTTCTTCTGGGCATTGTCCTCTTCATCTTTCACTATGGCACAGCCTTTAGTTACTACGGTAATTGTTACAACCACTCTCACGGACAAAAGCCAGGCGATCACATTCCTATCGACATTGACACCGGCACCGGTAGTAGTATTAGAGGCCGAATCCAACACTAGCTTTTCGCCAACCTGCAGTCCCGCTGTCAGTGGAAACAGCCCCGATCGTGATTCTCAATGCCAAACTACTCCAGCACCGGCTGAAGGACGAGGTGGAGTGGGCTCTGGTGCAGCGGCCGGCATAGCTATCGGCTGCCTCATCGTCGGTATTATTCTCGGTATCGCCGCCGCCTTTTGCTTCTTCTCAAGGAGAAGGCAAAGACACAGAGGTCATGGTGATGTTACCGAAGTTGCTATGACACCCTCCAAAGATGCTTCCTACGCACAGGTTGGGTCAGGGATGCAAAAGCAGGACGACAACGTCATGCCCCAACTGAAGAACTTTCTCCTCGATTCCCTCTCCGATCAGGAGCTCGCCGCCGAGCTTCGCGACCGACACCACCTCATCCAGCAACACGTCGAGAACCACTATCACTTCCACCCCTTGGATGCTACACGTATAAATCGCCAGAGCCTTGTTGCGGCCCTCTCCCAACTAGGCTTGGGTCAGGCTAGTACTGAAGGCCCCTCAGCCGAAACAATCGTCTCATTTGCCTTGGATCCGAACACAAGGCAGATAGCTCTCCAGCACGTCTTATCCACAGTCATCTTCACGAGCATTGATCCCAGCGCCCGGAGCCCGCTGTCCATGCTTCCCCCGTCCGTTGCGGCGTTTCTGCAGTCCATTCCCATGGATGAAGAGCACGGAGTCAGAAGACAGGTGCATTCTCAAGGTTCGTGTTTCCCCTTGTGCTTCCAGCATTATCGCCGCCCACAATCCGCTTTTTCGAAACCATCTTGGTAACAGAAATTCGAATAGCCTCCACCCTCGCCATTCACTGGTGGCGTGTGCTCTCCGCCTTCTTGTTGCACTCTCAACGCAGCCAGCGGACCGCCTTGACTCCAACAGACGCGGCGCTCGCGCCCCAAGCTGCTGCCATGGCGCAAGCGCTGAATAGCTTCCTGAGATACTTTGTCGAGGACTCGAACCCAGCCCGGTTCCAGCAGGAAAGTCATTTGCGGGAGGTTATCGTCGAGTGCGCCAAGTTTGGGTACCTGCTGTTTTCACAGCCGAGTGACTGGTGTATGTTGCACGTTGCTGGGCACGAGCAAGTGGCCAGCACAGTTCGCAGCTATCGGGAAGGGATAGTGTGCGCCGCTGGTCTGGTCAAGCTTACGGATAAAGATGGACGGCGGCTTGGTGGAAGTGCGCAGACAAGCGGGACGTTGGTTGTTCCGCCTGTGGTTGGGTGGCGGACTGAGTGAGCTTGTCACGCGTTCATCGACGGGAGATAGTTCGGCTTAGGTTGTGGGAATTTGGAAAGACACTGAGTACACATACGATGATAATGGACATTTCACTGGGTGCGTAATACATCTGCTCGGATAGCGAGAAACTGGCAGTTTTCAAGCAGGCAAATGGGGTTCTATCGTTAGCCAACCTCTACAGCAACATCTGATGGTCAACTTGCTGACCGCATCCAAACATGAAGTCCCTGTTTCCATCGGTTTCCACCTTCATATTTGGACGCTGGGCAATCTCTAAATCAACAAGGGACGATCACAAATTGCTCTATCTTGTTCCGGCTAAATTACTGCGATCCTCCTCATCGCATGTAACGGGCGAGGCTCTCACATGTGCGAACTAGCTGTCATCGACACTGTACCCCTTTCCCATGTACATAGGTAGTAAACACTGCGTGGCCGCAGACTTGCAGGGGCCTTGCATTGGTTTGAGTGTGAGACCCCCAAGTTGGAGGAAGGCAGCCATTAGACGCCGGTTGTGGCGTTTATAATAGGTTCCAGACTTTGTCACATCGTCACACAACTTTCTCATTCAATACCAAGAACGCCTTGAGGATGTCCGCCCCCTCCTGAAGTCGTCGTAAAAATAAACCGAGCATGGACAGTCCAGCACGGCTCGCTTTGACTAGGAAAGACCGTTACAAACCTGTGATATGGATCACAATAAATTGAAAACATATCGGCTAAAATCATCCAGACATTCTGCCATTCAAGAACTGCCTCAGAATCAGGCTTAAAGATATAATAAAGACGCTTGAAAGCGTCCTAAGTGTATACCCAAGGTGTAATGTACTGATCGCAACATGTTCGGTTTATTTTTATGACTATTCGCCTCCTCAAACTGAGGCTTATCAAAGATTTTGGTAGCTACCTACGTAGATGCTTCCACGAATGCCTTTATTACCTATGTGTCACCCCCTGTGTTACTATCCTTCTCAGCTGCTCTCGACTAAGAATTCCTAGCCAGATTAGATCAGGCTCTCAGGTCAACACCCTCAGAATGGGCCAATCAGTACACTAGAGGAGCTCATTGGCATTCATTGTCACTAGTCTGGCTACCACCTTCTCAGGTCGATAGTCAAAGACGGGTTCTGAACCACCCAGCTTTGAGCTTGGACTTGCAGCTGAAGTTGTCTTGGGCCAACCTGGCCGACCGTTCTTCCACGTTTCCCCGCTGTCTCGTTTTCATTTCCTTACACGACACAGTTGGTCCAAGGTCCGAGCATGTTTAATTTGACTCTCGCTTTATTTCCAGGGTCCAATCCTTGTTAACTTGCTGCGCCGAACCTCTTTCTTCGTTGCTTGCAAGAGGTACCTAGGCAATCCCAAATCATCAGCCCCTGGCGTCACTTTCACCACTTCCCGCCAGCCTAAAGGTTAGGTGTTTTTCTTCCACACCAGCATGGAAGCAATGAAAATACCCCCCGGCATCACATCCTCTCACAAAGCTCTCCTCTTCAATATCCCCCTCGACCACACCTCCACCGTAACCGCAGTCCGCCCCTGTCTCGAGCTGGCGCGAACCTGTGTCGTCGACCTCGAGGACTTGATCAAGCTCTGTAACGAAAACCTGCCTCTTCTGAGGACAAAACCGGCCATCTTTCAGCGGACCATCAACATCATCGAGAGCGCAAGAGGGAAAATAGCCCGAGTATGCCAATTGCTGGAGAAAATGACGACTTCCGGGCCGCCTGAGTCTTCTGGGTCTTTTGCTGAAGCGCGGGGGCATCATGACCATGACGGCGGCCAGATTCAGCTCTCTTTGAGAAACCGCTGGGGATGGCTGGTCGCCGACGCTCGCAACTTGGTCAACCGCGAACAACCACTTGTGGCGAAAGAGCATGGTGCTGTGGTCTCCGAGTTGAATTTTATAAGGCAGTTGTTGCTCATCGCTCCTACTATTGTCAAAGGACCAGGGCCAGGACTAGTACAGCAGGATGGGCAGTCAAACTCAAATTATCACGGCAGTAGCGGCCGGCGTTCCGAAACGACCGCATGGGAGAACATGGGTCTTCTGGACGAGATTATAGGCGGAGGCGGAAGCGAAAAGTCCAATCGAATAACAGAACAACGGCAGCCTCAGCAACAAACATATCCTAACCCCAGATCCGGATCTGGCGGGAACTACTTAGTACTACCACCGCCATATTCGGGCACGCCAGGATCCAAAGCAACTTCGCTCCCGCCCACACTGGGTCCCTCTCCTATGTCGTTGTCGATGTTGTCAAATGCTCCTCGACCGCCTACCAATGCCTCGAGCACGACTATATGGGATATGGGGGCGGGGTTCCAAGAGCTTCCAGCCTCGGCAAGTCAAAGTGTCTCTGCCAATGCATACACCAGGCCAAATGCCCTACACAAGTCGTTGTCATCAACGATGGTATTTGACACAGTCGGAGTGGGATTGCTTTGCGGCGATGGCCATGGTCACACAAAATCGTCGTCCCTGACATCGACGTCAACACAACGGTCGGAGCTACCTGGGCCTTTGGCTGCTGCCACTAGCAACACGCTTATCTATAATCAACATACACACCACCATAATTACCAGTGCTATCATCATCGCCATAATCATAACCAGATGGGAATCATGACACAACAGCAACGATCACAACTACAACAACAACACGGCGGCGGCCATATGATTTGCAACTGTGCCGGGGAAAAGAGTAGTAGCCATGTCCGAGTGGTAAGGGCTATCAATGAGGGGGAACCGCAGGAACTATCAAGTGTGGCGTTTGCTCCAGATCCTGTGGAATTGCCTTGAAGTGAAGGCTCATTTGTGGTACTAAGGCCTAGTTATAACAAGTTCGCTTGAAACTATATCGTGTATGTAGGGCCTAACTTAGATGGGCAATCGCTCTCAAAATATCGTCGGCACGTTGAGGGCAGAGACTCTGGAGTTGACGCAGTTCACCTGTAGGATCTGTGTATTGTAGGGATGCTTCGTAGCATTCACTCGGATGACCTCGAACACCAAAATGATTTGACCAGACCAAACTCACTGCTGATGAACATCATGAAAATACTATGCATCTGTATGTGTGTGTTATATCGGTGCTCATGCCATACAAGGTATTTAGTCTACATCGGACCTGAAGACTAGATATGATTTCAGACACTTGGAGCCATCAACGAGGGGATTTTAAGGGAAGGACCTCACAACACCTCGGCTGACCAATCCACCAAGGCTAAAATGACGCGGAAGGCTCAAATGATAGTGCGCGTGTGCTTGCGCCGACAAAAGAGCGATGCTCAGCAGCTGTGTTCATATCTTCAAAACGACTGGTTAGCCTTCATGATTCCCTTCTGCGCTTCTAGAGGACCTCATCTGCTTGATTTTTTTTTTTCCCCTTTCAACTCTCTCTAGCGCTGTTCGCAAGAGGCTTCGACATTCTGGAACGCCGGTCAGTGCCAGCCACCCCAAGCTTAGAGCCTCATTCAGGTGGTCTGACGTACCTCGTTTGCTTCGGCAGCTGCTCTAGTGTCTCGGGGAGAGCGGATTCTGTCTTGAGCGCCTGAATCATCAGCCAATCTGTCATGCGCAGAAGATTTTGCAGCCGCAGAAGAGGCCCTGCGGCTTCTACTGCCGGGCCTGGGCGTAGCATCTACGCTGCTGTCTCGGTCATCCCTTCTACGAGAGCGTCTGTGGGGGCTCCGTGAGCGGCGAGGGCTAATACTGCGGCTTCCGCTTCTGCTGCGTGATCGACGTCTAGAAGAACGGTGATGGGGAGAAATGCTGCGGCTACTACGACGCGTTCGCCTAACCGGGGTGCGGCTTCGCGATCGGGAAAGGCGAGAAGATCCAGTAGATGATACGGACCGACTGTAGCGCTTGCTTCGAGCCCTCGACAGGCTTCGGCTCCGACTCCGGCTCTGGGTTCGACTGCGACTAAGACTCCGAGTCAGGCTTCTACTGAGGCTTCGGGTGATGCTCCGGCTCCGACTTGGGCTGCGGCTCCGGGTGCGGCTACGGCTCCGACTAGGGGAAGTGGAGTAACGGCGGCGCTTAGGGGAGCGAGAGCCACGATCGGATGAAACCGAGCCAGTCCGAGATCGGGAGCGCCCCCGGTATCTGGGTCCGCGCCGTGGCGATGGTGACCTGACGCGCTTATGCGGTCCCCTGTGGGGGATCGGAGAGCGAGAACGAGTACGTGATCTTACCCGTCCCCGTCGTGGAGGAGGGCTAGGGGATCGAGTAACAGATCGCCGGCTTCCGTCAACGCTGGGTGTCCGCGAACGAGAGCGGGACCTCGACCGCACAGACGGCGACCTAGTTCGAGATCGCCGTCTCCTGTCGTCCCGTCGTCCTCCGCCACGTCTGAATGTCGGACTTCCTCGGGGAACATATGAATCTCTGAGTCCTCCTCTTGGTGGGCCACGGTCCCTTTGATCACGGAAACGCGGTGGTGAGCGAGATCGACCACCGCCACCTCGGCCTATGTTCCCTCGGGGGTCGCGGTCGTCACGGCGTCCTCCACGCCAGGAGTCGCCGCGGCCACCACCCATACCGCCTCCTCGGCCGCCGCGGCCCCTTTCAGGTCGACCTTCGAATTCTCGACGTTTCTGTCTTGCCTCTTCTGCGGCTTTGTCCGCTTCGAGCTGCCGGAAGCACTGTCAACCAACGCTCACCACAGGTTGCCAGATCGGAAAGGGAATGGAGGTGCGTACCTTCTCCTGGATCAATTCCATCTTCTTGGCCTCCAGAAGCTCCTTTGGCACACCTTGAGGACTAGTCTGCGCACTGAGTAGAAGCCTCCACAGGTCCCTGCAGAATGTCGGGGTATCTTTGTCGAGAAAGCCTGTGAGTTGGATCTGCATGGACTTGATGTCGGGCTGCCATCACCGTATCGTCAGTATCGTGTTGTGTAAAGGAACTGGGTAGTTGTAAGGATGGTCGGCGACTTACATAGCGGCCACTCTCAAGTAGGTTGAAAACCAGCTCGATAACAACATCATCCTCGTTGGCTAGGATCTCGGTGACCTTGCTGGCAATCCATCTGATCAGAGACGCGACGTGTTAGCAATTGCCTCGTAGTCATCCTCCCCTGGCAATCAAGTCCCCAGTGCATCACAGCGATGCGAGCTTGTTGGCGTAACAGTGACTGGGTGCACTTACTTCTTCATGACCTGAATGTTGACCTTTTGCATGTCCACCTTCTGATTGAATTCGGGAGGAAATTTGGTGCTCTTCAAGAGCTTGGCGTCCACTCCGGTCGCCATTGTGGGCAGTATGTTTCGATAATACTGCTGCAATATGTGGGTGAGATGGGGAGTCGATCAACGTCGAAACGGCAGAGGGGAGAAAGGATGTGGATGTTGAATTGGTTGCACCAGACTGCGAGCGACAGTTAACAGAAGATGATATCGTCGGGCGCGACGTTTTGTGGTGGATCCCCCACTAACTTACTGTGGAGCCAAACACACGCGCGCTGTCGGCAGTCCACTTGCAAGGGCCCGCTCCAGGGCCGGGGGTCGGGGTTGAAGTGGATGGACGGACGGTCGGGGCTGCATTACATATTCTAGAAACCGCAAGCCAATCACGCATATCGTCCTTCTGGAATCCGGATAATACGATCTGGATGGAAACTGATTGTGACTAGTATAATATCATACGACTGGAATTGTCCTGGAAATTGGTAGTCAAGATGGGCCATATTACACTCGGTAACCGTGGACAATCATCTGTTCTAAAGAGACTGTCCATGTTCATATTTCGCTATGACATCAACAGCTGTTGAATTCCAATGCCTCCGGAAGGACAACTTCGAGATCACAATTTTTTTGGTGGAGTTTAAGCAATTAGTCAAGGCGATGTTAAGCTTTCCCTGCAAAATATAGGAGATACTCACGGAGACATTGCAGTGGTGATGGCAGGGTGTGTCAGGTTTTTGCAAGAGTGAGTGGGTGTCAAGGCGTAAGCAAATCATAATTCAATGCTCAGTCTACTATGTATGTTCATACCCTCCACAAAGGACCGACATTCCCCCGTGCTTTTCAGAACACCGAATAGATTTTCCGGAAGACATTGCCGTTTGCCACCGGAGCCGTCGTAAGAATTCATCCTGCCCAAACGCCAAAGACGGATTCATGGGGAGAGGCACGTTCACATACCACAATGAGTGAATCTATCAGTAGGCTGAAAAGACGAGAAAAACCAAAGCCATACCCAAGCAAAACCATCTGAGCTTGTTCTCCTGGATTGCCATCGTGACTGTATATGGGTCATGAGAAATGCAACGATCTTGAGCTTTTAAAAAAGAGAAAAAAAAAAAAAAAAAAAAAAAGAAGAAGAAGAAGAAAAAAGGTAGGTTCGCGGAAGGGAACCTTGCTACACGGTGTGTTCACGAGGGTGGCGGCGATTGAGCCTTGGGATAGATGAAACGACTTAATTTGGCATCTGCGCCATCCTTCTTCTCCGTTTGGTAGCGGGATTGCAATGCGGTTATCTTGTCTCTGAGTTTATCGATGCTTGTGGTGTCTTGCTGCTTCAACTTCGTACGAATCTCGTATAATGCCATCAGGGAATGCGCTCGGTCAACGTCATCTTCGGGCTGTAGTTTTCTGAAGCTGTTAGTAACCCAGTCCTCCGATGGAACCACACATCGGGACATGAAACCTGACCTCAGATTCTCTTCGTGGAGTGCCGGGAATGGACCCATGGTTCGAGTGCGTACGGGTCATGGGGGGAGTTGTAAGGGGACGGCCGTATTTGTCATACCTGGCGGGCGAGGCCGTCCTAGAGAGTAGGGAGGTTGCGGAAGCGACACGTTGGTGATGGAGTTGATGCTGATTAGGGTGGATGGGAGGCTGCTCGGTTGATGGCTTCAGATGATGGGACAGTTCTGGAGCGGGCTGGCTGGCGCTCTTGTTTGCGTTGACGACCGCAAGTGCGGCCTGTGATTCTTGCTGTGGCGAGAGTGTCAGAGAGTAATGATCCAACATGAGCGGATCCCAACAGCAGTGCCATGCGCGCGACGCCGATAGGGGGGACTTGTTCGTCAAGTTCTGTGGGGACGGGAAAGGAGACATACAGCCGCATTTAGATCGCTAAGATCGGCCAACATCTGGGCAAGTTGGATGCTCTCCATTGTCGCGTGTGCACTCCTTGAACTCAATTAACGAATGCGGGTCGATTTGCGACCATCCAATGAATACGTGTCTAGAGTTGTAGGATAGGATGTGACTCCGAAATAAGGACACCTGGGAGTTTTAGTCGCCCTCGAGACGAATGGATCAGGGTCGAGAATGTATGTATGAATCTGGAACAAGTGGACGGTGTGCAAGAGGTGTCTCTTCTTTTGTTGCAGGTAAAAGCGGCAGAAAATCGGGAGATCCAGGAAGGAGACGAAGAGGAAGCGGCCGGGTGACCTAAAGTGGCCGCAGATGAGCGGCAGTGTTGCAATATGAAAGCCGCTTTCAAGTTCACGTCATAATGGTAATCCACCCCCAAATTGTTCGATTCCGCTTTGTCACCAGCCTGGTTGCAGACCGTCTGACCGAATGGATGGAAAGAATCCAGCGAGCGCAGAGGGTGTGTGGTGGCGGGGTGCGAGCGCGCGTATGTTATAAGGTACGACCTTGAAATGAGTGTCCGGTGAGGAGAAGGAAGCAGTGGGGGAACGGACTGTCGGTTTGCAACTGGGAGGTCTTTTCATAAAGGGATGCCCGACGGGGAGGGACGTCTCTTCCTGGCTGTGCTGGAGACATCCCAACGCGGTGCTAGCCAGGTAGAGGCAGGATGCGGTTTGGGGTAGTCGCGTGGGCGTTCTGGACATCCCTGGCATTGCCGGTAAACCACCGATTCGAGCGGGCTTCCCCACACTTTCAGTAGCGCTCCCCACTTCCCGCCCTTAGAGTTTCACTAAGTGTAATGGTTTAGGAAAGCGTATGATAAACAACTAGAGAGGTACGTTTGAACGATGCATGTCCTCCGTGTTCGGGGCCGAGACCCTTGTGTGAGCTGGCCGATCCCCGGCCTCCACTAGGTATCCTCAGGCTATTGCTGCCAAGACGATTCCTTGGCTGGTACTGTAGCTAGAGCTAGTAGTATTCAGCGCACTAGGTATAAGCTTTCGTCTCAGCGGTCGTCGTGCTTGTCTCGATAAACCCGTCGTACGTGTCCCGAATCCTCTCGGCGTTACGCAGAGCTTCAATCTAGATAGGCCCTTAGCTGTCAGCATTTAGAGCGAGGAGGTGAGTCCCAGCCAATAGCAGGGCAAGAAGGAGGTTGATCGGTTTTGTACGGGACATCTTTTCCAGCGTCACAGTCAAGATGGCCGCAAACTGCCTGCGTGCAGTTCAGCACGCAATGGAACCCCCCCCCCCCCCCCCCCAAGCCTGATACTGATAAGCAAAGTCTAGAAAGTCTCACAAGCTCTATATACCTCTAACCAGCCAAAAACCGGTCGCAACATGAGCCTCACATTCAGGAGAGGATTGACCACCATGGCCTCGCTCAAGAAGGCCTCCAAGGTTGTCTGCATTGGCCGCAACTATGCGTATGTGTGCATAAGTACGCCATAAACGCATCTGAACATAGCTGACTCATTTTCAATAGGGACCACATCACGGAGCTGAACAGCGCAAAGCCCAAGCAGCCTTTCTTCTTCCTTAAGCCTCCTTCGTCCATCATCCTTCCCGGAGAAGGACCCGTCATCCGGCCCCGTGGTGTTGATATGCACTACGAGGTTGAGCTTGCTCTTATCCTCGGCAAGCGTGTCAGAGACCATGACGCTTCGGACTTGAAGGGAGCTCTGGATGCCATTGATAGTGAGTTTTCCATACTCCATTATCCATAGTCAAAATACCAACCTTTCTCTTTTAGGCTATGCTCTCAGCATCGACATGACGGCACGCAATGTCCAGAATGAGGCCAAGAAGAAGGGCCTCCCCTGGGACATTGCCAAGGGATTCGACACGTTCCTGCCCATGAGCAAGCTTATTGAGAAGTCCCGTATTCAGGACCCTCACAATATCGAGCTCTATCTCAAGGTCAACGACGAGGTTCGTCAGAACGACTCCACCAACTTGATGCTCTTCCAGATTCCCCGCATCCTTAGCGATATCTCCAAGGTTATGACGCTCGAGGCCGGTGATATCGTCCTGACTGGCACTCCCAAGGGCGTTGGCCCAGTTGTCCCCGGTGATGTCATGCGCGCCGGTATCCGTGTGGATGGCAATGAGATTGAGGAAGCCAAGATCGAGATCGCGGTCGAGGAGTCTACCCGCTCGTACGAGTATGCTGAGACGTAAACACCGAACGAACATGGAAAATAGCCCACCCTTATATAACCTAGTGTAGTTCGATGTACATAGATTCTATACCACATACGCTCGCAGGGCGGACATTCGATAAGGCCATGAACCCCCAAGCCATGATGCAGACCCTTCCATTCACTGCACATTCGGATCCTGGATCGATCCAGGCTTGGGGCACCAATCTGCCAGCTCACCACACTTCTTACAAGTCCTCAGCTGCTCATCACCCTTAAAGGCTTCCACGGCCGCCTTGATCTGCGTTCCCAAATCGGTGCAGTGGAAACTCGCCTCGTGGACAATCTCCTTGCAGTTCTGGCAGTACCACCTCATGCGGTCGATGGTGTCGGCGGGACGCTTCTGTTCCAGCACGATACCGACCGTGTCGGCGAACCGCACCGGGTTGTGCGGGGTGTTGCCTGGCAGGAGGAACATCTCGCCCTCGCGGATAATTATATCTCTGAAGTTTCCGTCGTCGACCACCTTGAGCATCATGGCGCCCTTGTACTGGTAGAACCACTCGGGGGTTTGGTTGATGTGGTAATCTGTGCGGGCGTTGGGGCCACCAACGATCTGTGGGGGGGTTTTAGTGACGAACGGAATCAGAATTACCTGCAGTCGAGTTGCTACTTACCATGACGGTGAAATCATCATTGTAAACGCAGTAGTTGTTGATGGGCGGCTTCAGAAGGTGAGAGTTTTCTTCGAGCCTGTGTAAGCTGTGAGCGCAAGCTGATACGCTGAGGGGTTACATGTGGCTGATGGTGATGCATACCATTTCGGCAGGTTTACTGGTGAGGAAAGCATTGTTTAAGACCTGATTTGTGTTTGTGATCACTATGACTCGTTCTTCTTCTTTCTTTTATCGTTCTTTTCTCCTAAAATCAACCTCCAAGATCCTCAAGTTAGGTATGACGCTGACGATGGGATGATTCAAACTGCGAACAGCTGACTGCTTTGTCAGCTTATCCCGGCACTTTAACGATATAGGCAGGGGCCGGGAAAAACGCATACCCAGTTAACTGTACTCGAACTTTCGTGTTGACTGTAAAATGGGTTTGTACAAGACCATAGAAGTACGAATCCAGATATGTCTACTACCATACGCAGGTAATGGAAGTTTCGAACAACATGGAGCGCTAGAAACCATAAACTAAATTCCGGCAGGTATCCCAACAGTAGTAGTACCCCACTTGTCCGTTTGATGCCCCGCCAGATGATGCCCGCTGTCAGACGGAGGGGATACCAGGGCCTGCCGAACGAACTCCAGACGAGTCTGTTCCCCCCCTCAATGAGTGTTGTTGTTCGGATGCCAGACCCCTGTTTATCTTGCTCAAACTAGCTTGGTATAGCGAGTTTACGATATTCGTGCCAGCTGCAGGGCGTTGCAGGCGTATTCTCAGGTGCTCAATGTCTCCTCTGGCCGTGAACACAACGTGCGAAACTCCAGCTCCGACCTCGAGGTTCCACCAACGGAACACTTCAGTCCCCGGCCTCTTTCATCTGATGGGACACGAGGCGCTCACTCACAGCCACCTCTACCTTATAAGTCGTGATCCCCGATCAACAACTCCGCCATCTCACTTCAACTCCCTTCTTTTCTCTCCTATAGTCGAAGCAACAAACATCTCAAGGAGCAGCAAAACGAACCATGGATCACTCTGGCCACGACCACAGCACCCACATGGACCACTCCGGCCACGGCGACATGCACTCGGGTCATCCTGGGATGGGCGAAGGAGCGCCGAGGTGTAGCATGAACATGCTCTTCACCTGGAATACGGAGAACCTCTGCATCGTCTTCCGCCAATGGCACATCCACTCGACCTTCAGTCTCGTAGTCTCCCTTCTCGCCATCGTCGCGTTGGCGGCCGGATACGAGGCACTTCGCGAGGGCATTAGACAGTATGAGGCATGGACTAATAAGAGGGTGGAGACTACGCCTCGTAAGTTGTTCATCCTCACTTCCCCTTTTTGTGTCTCGGGCCCTTTAAAACCATTTTGCTTCTCTTTAATCCGATATTGCTATCTTTGCCTTGGCTTGCCATATCATCTCATTGCATCTCAAAATGTCACAACGTTACGTGGCATTAGACACACAAACACCGAATGCCTACTACATCTACCATGCGTTTGGTGTCGTATCGTATTGCTAAGATGACCATCTATCTGTGTTGGAGACCCTCGAGAACAGTATCGCGATGATGATGACGTTGAACCACAACTTGAGGATGAAGAACGTCTTGCTGAGACTACCATGCCGTGGTTACTAGGGCAAAATGTGGCTGCAGTCACCAAGCGGGCCCACGCCATCAAGTCGGTCTTGTATGGGATCCAGAACTTTTATGCGTTCATGATCATGTAAGAGATTGCCTTCTCCCCTTCCACCTTTTGCTTTCCAATTTCGTTTCCAAGCTTGCATGTTTTCTATTTCTGACCACACACACACAAAAGGCTCATCTTCATGACGTACAACGGCTGGGTCATGCTGGCTTGCTCTTTGGGAGCTGCGTTGGGATACTTCGTTTTTGGGTCCCGTACTACTGCTACCAAGGAAACTGCTTGCCATTAGGAGGTGTCATTGACGTGCTCATGAGTGCGCAATGCTCAAACGTGAGGAGAAAATTATATGGCTTGAGCGGCGAGGTGTTATGGCCACTTTGCATAGCGGCTGGTGAGAAGAGCGGCTAGAAGGGTCCGAGGAGTGCCTTCAGAGTGTTCCTAGATGTAATCGGCGGTTAATACGTTGGGACGTATGGGGTATGTATGTATATCCCCATGAGATAGGATCTAGTTGACAAGTTTTTTTTTACCGTATTATATATAATAACTGACGAATGGATGTGCATGGCTTTAAAACGATGAAGGGAAAGAAAGAAAAAAAAAAAATTAAATAAAAACTTAATTCGAAGTTTTGCGCCAGCCGCGAATCGAACGCGGGGCCCATCGATGGCAACGATGGATTTTACCACTAAACCACTGGCGCTCAGTGGCGTTAATATTAAATTTAGTGCATGACAAGTGCATATGAATCAACAACAAGATGTCTATTCTAACACCCTGTTTACCCACATTCAACCACATTACCTCCAGGTCCTCCTCTATCTACATCTTTGACGCCTCGCTAGCCTTCTTCGCCGCCTCACTCGCCTTCTTTAGATCCTCCTGCGTGAACACACTCTCCTTCTTCGTCTTCTCCCCCAACATGCCCAACTTATCCAACCCCATGATCATCCTCTCGTCTCCAAAATGGCTGTTATGCTCAAACTCGGGCTCCTCCCCATATGCCACCGTCGCCGCGTCCACCAGTATCCTTGCCGTCATTCCCCAGACCTTGTATCGCTCGCTTTCCTCCTCGTCCCCACGAGCGAGCGCTGCTGTCGGTGGCGGCAAGTCCTCGTCGTCTTCCGGGTTGATGATTGCGCTCTTGTTTGACGACTTTTCTTCGGCGGCCTTTAGCTGCTTCCGTGACCCCGGCTTGGCTACCTGCTGGTTGTTGACGGGCACGTAAAAGAAGTGTAACCGCCACCGCTCCTCGTGCCAGTTCGTCCAGCTGCCCTCGTACCACTTGCCTGGCGGCGGCTTTTCTTGCGAGCTGTCATCGTCGCTTTTCGGAAGTTCATCATTGGCTCGCAAAAAGTTGTGGAAGGGCGCGGAGAAGACGGCGGCGACTTCCTTGGCATTTAGGCGCGGAATCAGGGATTCGTCTGCCGCTGGTGCGACCTTGTCATCGGCGTGCAAAAAGGCAACACAGGGACGGACGACTAGCTCGGTGCGCGCGAGGTTCATGGGCAGATAGCAGAGGTGTTCGATGCGGAAGGGCGAGGGGAGCTTGTTGTCGTCCATGGGAAGACCGATTTCTTCCCAGGCTTCGCGGCGGGCGATTTGATCTGTGTGAAACAGTCCAAAGTTAGTGGTCTTTGGTCTCGTTACTGGTAGTCTATGTGAACGTGATAGCGGGACTTCATACATGGTGTTTCCTCTACACTATCTGCCTTCCCGCCGGGTAGTGCGGCATGCCCAGAGAAGCTGCGCATGCTCGCGGCGCGCATGGTGATGACGACACGGAGATCACCGCGCTTGTCTGCGAAAAGGAGCAACAGCACCGCGGCGCGGCGACTGATTGGTAGGCGGTCCCATAGCGGAAAGGGAGGGGGCTTAAAGGCTCTTAACCGGGCAATGGCAACCTGCAAGGTAAAATTGTGATAAGTGACATGAACGTTTTAATGATAGAATAATGATTCATATAAACTCGGAAGTCACGCAAGGGGCCGACCCGATTTCTACCTCAGGGCACCATGCAAGCCCGGGCCGGAGTCGGAGTACGAAGCCGGACACACGGCGCCGGAGCCATGCGGTCTTCCACGGGAGCAAACAGCCGACACGGAGTCAAAAAAAATGAGGTATAAGTACTAACCGCCGAGGCTGGACTAAGCGGTTTCATGGTCGAAGCATCCCAATAATGGGAAGCCTCGCTGTCGATAGCCTTCTCTTCCTCCTGATCCTTTGCGGTTTCCCCGTCTTCTTTATTATTCTCCTCCCGTCCCTCCGTTGGCAGTTCACCCGTTCCTGTTGACGTCGGAAATGAGATATCGGGATCCTGTACACCCTGAATACTCTGAGCAATGGTCTGGAACTCTTCGCGGTCTTGAGGGAAGTCGCCGGTGGTGTGTGCGCCCACTTCGTTCGAAGCGCTCATGGTATCAACCAGGATGTGCCGTAAAGAAATAGGTAGATACGAGAGTTAGGACGGGACTCAAGAACCGCGGCTGTTTGGACGGAGGTTGGGCGCAAAAGAAGAGGGTAGGCAGAACTGTGACTGGAACTAGCAGAACAACCTCAAGTTACTGTACGGTACCTCTATGACACAGTCTACGTATAAGTACACTAGAGGTACCTACCTTTGGGGATGTTGTGCGGAGAAATAGCGGGGAAGGAGGAGCGGTACCGATGGAAGCCGGAGTAATTTAGTGGGGGTCTCTTTGGGGAGATCTACTGACGTCAATGAGGAGGTTGAGGTTACCTATTTCCTCGAGTGCAGGGGCACTTGCAATTCTGTCTCTCCACCTCCAATAGGTACTTGGACAATTCCCTAATCAAATGCGAAATGGGTATTCTTCACTTTTATGTGTAGAGTATAGCTCCCATCACGCGCGTCAGTCAGTTCCACTACATACTCCAGTGTGCTGAAATGACAGTTTCACATTGCAACAGCGGTTCATCCTTTCCCCGACGGCCTCGCCCTGTGTCATGCTTGAAGCGCCAACCTACCTTTCTATGCCAGGGCTTCCCGGTGCCCTAGCATATCAAACTCGCAGCCGAACTTCCTTGACAACAACATCACAATGCAAACACCCTGTGGACAGGAACACGAGAGACCGATCGCATTGCACCACCAAACAGAGGGATTCCGTTATCCTAGGGTTGAGCATCATCACAGATTCCGCGACGCTCAAGTTAGCTCATTTGTGCAAAACAACGCCCTATCATATATTCTACAGGAGATGGCCCCTAATTGTTCGATTTCCACTCCTCATCACTTGGAATCCAGCCACCCTTTGACTTTCGCATACGTATTCTAAGTCAGCCTTACTGCACCCTTCACACAAGATCACTTCATAACCAACCCTGTCCCTCTTGCCGCGCCGGCCTCTCCGACAGCGACAACAAATCCATCCCCGTAACGAACTCAACCGGCGCTTCCACCCTGGCCCCATCACCCAGCACCCTAATGCTATTCTTCAAATCCTCCCTCTTTCTTCCCGGCTTGGTTTTCCGCGCCAATCGCCCGCCGACAAACAGCTCATTTGTCTTCTGCGCCAACGCGCTCTTCTTTAGAGTCTGAGGGAGCAGAAACCCGACGGCAGATGAGGTGGAGGAGGCGGTCGAAAAAGAGAAGGACGATGGCCCCGCAGCGTCGCGGCCATCGGCTGTGCGTGGCCGATGGACTGATGATGTTGTGCCGACGGCGGCAATAGTCTTGCAACTCTGATCGTGGTATCTCTCTGCGGCTGTTTGATATCTTATGGGGCCCCGTTCGGTGGCTGTGGCCGTCGATATGGTGGCGGGTGTGGACGTAGGTGTCGGAACTGAGGGTGATGCTCCTCCCCCTCCTCCTCCTCCTGGTGTTGATCCCGAGACGCGTCTAAAGACCTTGGAAACCAAAGAGCGTCGAAATAGAGATGTGTGATTCTCACCATCGCCGCCACCGGGGCTGTAATTGCCGTCGCTGTGGTTACGGATGTGATGACTGCCGTGCTTCGCGAATTTGGTAATCGAAGCCAAGTTATCTTCCAGTGCAAGCGGAAGCGGAGCGCCTATCTCAAGCTGCGGCGAGCCCGAGTCCCATTGCCTGCGCAGTTCGTTGTGGTGCCCGAAGGTGCTCACGCTGATGGTTTGCGCCCTGTTTCGGGGCCGCGTCTTGAGGGCGGCGTTTGGAGATGTTGCCAAGAAGGGTGATGGTGAAGAAGAGCCTGCGTGAGATTGATGGGATACCCGCGAGAATTGCGAACTGGATCGGGGGTTTGGTTCTCCTTCCTCCGTACGATCTAGATTTGGAGTCACCAATGTATCAGCCGCCGAGTCCCAGCGAGGCAGGACCAGTAGGAGCTCGTCCTCCCTCGGCGGTCGCACGGGTGGTGGCTGCTGACTTTCCCTTTTACTATCACCAGTTGTCTGTGGCGTGCCGTCCTCGCCAAGAAAGCGGGCATGACCCGGGCCTCCGGCAGTTTGAGATGATGGGATCCCGACGCTGCTTCCTGGGTGGGGGGGATGACTCAAGGCATTCGGATATGCCCAAGATCCTCCTCCTCCAGCTGCTGTGTAACGAGCAATTTGTGCGGTTGTCTCGTGATAGAGCTCACGGGCTTCAGTATTGCTGACGCCGCTGTGATCACTGTCTGTTGGGGGATTTGGCGACATGGTTCTTGCTGTCTTGTTGCTTCTTCCTTTGAGACTGCCTCTGATCTTACGTGGCTGTAAAGGTCGTGGGATAGGCGATGGTGCTTTTCTTACCATCAGTCGATTCTTGATAGTTGGATGTGGTTTTCCCCTGGGGAAGTATTCTGTCAATACGGGGCTGTCGTACCTGCGAGGTGGGCTGCTTCCGGCTAGGCTTGCTGAACCCGCCTCGGATACAGTGCTGTCTCGATATTGGCTGTAGAAACTACTGCGGCTACTGACGGGAGATATGTAACCTGTCGTATGTTTTTCCGTGGCGTTGTTCTCGCTGTTGCTGAAACGATCTTCCCGTCCGGGAAGAGAAACCGGCCCCGAGAGCTGTTTAACCTTTAAATTATGAATCTGCCCGATAGGTGATAGCGGTGGTGAGTCTGGATGCGACTTGTTGGGTCCGAAACTGCCGAGCTGGAGGATATTCGATATTGGTGATCGCGGTTGCGGTGAAATGATTTCTTGTGACAAACTCGACTTCAGAGTGCGTTCTGAGTCTGCTGGAGGGATATGTAAAGGCTTGGGTGTTCGCGGTGCCGGACACGCTGACGTTGATATTGGTGTTCCGCCCCTGGGGGTCAACTGCTTAGCAATGATGGAGTTTATCTCGGCCTCCTCCTTCTCCCAGTCAATGTCCCCCAAGTTTTGACGATAGTTGATCTTCTCAGGAGGACCGGCTCCTGTAATATTCGCCAACGTGTAAACGCTCTCTACGCTGTTCGGGTCCTTCTGGCTTAATGTAGAGGCTGCTGGCCTCCGCTTTGGCGGAATGGGCGGTAGGGGTTTTTTCTCGTAGACTGCTACGTCTTTCGGCTTTGGGGGGCTGAAACAAGACCCTGGGGGTGATGACGACGTGATGTTGGCCTCATCAGCAGAAGATGGACGTGGAGTATCGGCCCGACAGCAGGGTCGTTGGGGGGTTGTCGTCGTCTCGTCCATCTTTTTGGTATCTACTGACCGCTTCTTTTCTTCTGGAATACATGCGACTCCGCCAACCTGAAACAGCAACCTCTTCCCTCAAAAGTAGGGCATTCCCAGCCTGTGTTTATCATGCACGAGCAAATCGACGTTCGAGACCTCGAGTGTTGAATTATAAGCATTTCCACAACTCCACGACTTTGATATCTCTCCCGCGTTCTTCCGGGATAAGAAGGTTAGGTCCCAGCAGACAAAGGATTTCGTCCCTTTTGAGTGAAGATTTTCATGGGAAGTAAGCGAGCTTTCTTTCAACTTTATACTTACCGTGTCACCATCATGAGGTTGGCTTTTCCTTTGTTGAAATAGTATAACGGACAGGGACAAAGGCGAGAGAGCACATGTTAGGGATTTAAAGGGAAACGTCAGAAATGAATCAAAAGCCACTCCTCAACAAAACCTAATGGCTTGAGGAAGACGGCAGCTTTTGTCTAGAGGACAACGGGGCCTTTGCTCCGCAATACCACTTCAAGGTTTCTAGATGTCGGATAGAAGGAGAACTGAATCATACTGGTGTAACGACTACACGAGGACTTTTTGCGGTATTCGTTATCCCGTGTATCATGACGATTGGAATGGATTACAAGTGATACGCTGGAATTACGCGCCGTCCATCCTACTTGTAAACGTCTCTTCCAGATGCTGGGCTGTCATACAGACACACTAAGTAAGAATTTCGGGCAGCCTCTTGAGGGGCGGGATTGCCGTGATAGGTCCGGTACCAACGGGTGTATGAAGAGTTGTGTAGCCTCGGAAGCAACCCCGATGGGGACAAGGGTAGGATTGGAACACCGAAGAAAAAAGCAACGTGTTCTAGGATCCGAATCATTATTAGTCGTAGATTTTTGTGACCTTCCTTTGGAGAGTACATCTATATCACTGGGGTGGGTGAACCAAAAAACGACCCGAACGCCGATGTTGTAAACCAACCGTGTGACGGCGTATGATACTCGGATTTTCCAGCATTCCGTTTTCCATCCAAAACAAAAGCAAACGTCCGTAGCGGCAACACGCGGACATCCAGGTTCTGATGGTTAGTGCCGCAGAGGTATGGCAAGTGGGACTTAGTCCACGTACTCCTCGTCCTCGTTCCTGGTATTGAAGTTGCTCATCAAAATGTCGTCAACGCCGAGCCCGGTTGAAGTATTCCTGATCCATTCGGTCTCAACCCGGAAGAAGATCCACACCCACCGCCGGAACACTTCGCAAAACTCAATCAAGAAGATCGAACTCTCGAAGTCGCTAATGGTATTGAGATGGGGGTGCAGCTTGATCATCCATGTGCACCGTAGTGCCAGATCCAGTGCGATGACAAAGTAGTACACCACGGGCTTATGGATCAGCAAGCGGCGCCGCAGACCAAACGGATGATCGGGAGAATTGCGTTCCTGTGCCTCAGCAAAGAGGGTGAGATCCCAATCCTTGGCAACGTCCCAGTAAAAGCTGTAGAGTGAGTTGAGCAGACACGCAACAATCCATGCACGGTACAGGCTCATAGTTGGGGTGCCGTTGGTGTTTGCGTTACGCAACATGGCGTTCAAAATGATAACAGGAAACGCGGTCGAGTACTTGGCCGCGTTGGCAAGATGTTGTCCACCCCAGCCCGTGGACTCCTTGAAAGGGGAATTTCGCACGCGCAGATATTCGATAAGACACTGGCGCAGCCGAATAGCGCTTGGTATCGTCAGGAGAAGTGGTACGAGATAGGTGCCGCCGCAGCTGCGATCGGGTCGGTCAGTAGCAGACCCATTCCGCGTGAAGAACATGCAGAGACATATGAACAGGTCCCCAAGGACCTTGGCGTAGCTGGTGAGAACATCAGCCAGCAAGATATCCCCAAACTTTCCATCCTTGGCCTCAGCCAAACCTCCCACACTGACGCGGCGCAGAGTTGCGAGTAGTCGACGTCGACCGGAGTGCGAGACAGACAGTCTTCGCAGGGGTAGCACGAAGAGGGCTGCGGTCACTGCCAAGTTGGTCATGGGAATCCAGTCATAGTCGATAACGCGTTTTGGATCGCGCCTGGTAGACGACCAAAATGTGAGAATCGAAACAGCGGAGCTTAGCGAAAGAAGAGTCGCAAGACGGTATGTCGAGTGGTGGTGAGGGAGCTGGGTTGGGCTCGATCTTCCTGGGTACCGGATTAAGGAGGGGACGTCGATCTGGCGATTATGGAGGAACTGAAGGTTGAGGCCCCAGCCCCAAACAGCTAATCAACCAGAGATTGTCAGTTTACAACCGGGTATCCAAGAAGCAAACATACGGCAGGAAATTTGTATATACATACCTATGATCACGATGAAGGCAACCCGGTAGGGAAGAGGAAAGGTCAAGCTGAAGGAGTCGAGCTCCGGCTCAACCACGGGATCACCGTCCATTGCGCCAGGCAGCGGTCAATTTGCTGTCCGTCATGGAATGCGGAGAGGGAGAAGTAACAGATGGACGCAAAGAAGAGTTGATAAGCTTGGAATCAAATTCCCAGCAGTAACGCGTCTGGAGTTTGTCAAGTGTCAAGATGGAAATTTTAATTTCACCTGTACTGCGGTAGCTGTCGCAAAGAGACCCGAGTTGCCAAGCCCCTGTCGCGTGCACTCTTGTTGGCTTAGGGAGAAGACCCGACGTCAACCCCCTGGTCGCGGCCCCGTCCTGTGACAACCCGCTGCATCATCCCTGCCGCTAAAGCCTGGGCTACGACGTTCTGGGCGCCCCCCTGCCAATTCCTCAGCTCCTTGGAGAGGAACCACGCCTGGGGCGGCGCCGGGCGTGCTGCCCCCATTAACCCCAAGGACCGAGGTCCATCCGTTCCCGACTACCACTTTCATCTCAGCTTCAACTGCCGCCTGTCGATCTCGAGATAGTATCAAACAACAACTCGGATAATTTCAGACCGAAAAGATTTGATCCATTTACTGCCACAGCTTCGACGATTCGACTGTAGGCATACGAGCTCTCCTAGGATTCGAGAGTCCCCCCCTGAATACGTCGCCCGTGTAAACACAGCTTTTGACCCCCGACTTCGAGCCCACCCGACCCGAATCAAAACGACGACATCAATCACCATGTCATTGACGGCCACCAAGAAGCCACCTCCGCCGCTCACGAGCTCGCCATATCCATTCGCTGCAGCCCCCGACATTATCCGCGCGCATCAAAAAGATGCCTATTTCCAGGGCGTCCTCACTAACCAGCTGACCGACCTTCACCGGCGCGTTCGCGGTGCCCGCTCCGCCCACTCCTGGGCCACCGAAACCCGCACGGCTGCCGACCTGCTCTACCTATGCCTCACCACCCTCCTGGGCAACCGCACCCTAGGCGAGGAGTACTGCGACCTAGTCCAAGTCGAAGAGCCGAGTACGGGCGGCAACGGCAGGATACCAGACACCCAAAGCCCCGTCGAACCCAGCAGCGAAGCCGGCGGCCCCCGTCTGCCCTCGCTCCAGCGACGAGCCGGCTACATCGTCAGCAGCGTTCTTGTCCCCTACCTCTTCAGCCGCCTGCTGCCCTCCATCCGCGCCGCGCTCCGCAAGCGCCTCCAGGACCGTCTCACCGTGCTTGCCCGCCAGGGCCGCGGCGACACCAAGGGCGCCACCCCATCTACCTCCAACAACAAGGGCGGTGGTTTCTCAACAGTGTCAACGCTTGAGTACCGCGTGAAGCGCTACCTGCTCACACACCTGACTTCCATCACCAGCGGCGCGCACCTGCACGCCTTGACGCTGGCCGTATTCTACTTTTCGGGTGCTTACTACTCTTTCTCTAAGCGCCTCTTCGGGCTGCGTTATGTGTTCACGCGGCGCATCGAGGAGGGTCAAGGCGGTCGCGCGGGCTATGAAGTGCTCGGCGTGCTGCTGGTGGTGCAGATGCTCGTCCGGGGATACCTGCATGTGACGGCGCAGCTGTCGTCAACTTCGCCGCTTAGTGCCGAGGAGGCCAGTACCGAGGCAAGCATTCGGGAGCGCGCCTTCGGGCCGGGTGCTGCGGGCACACTGGATGTGTCGTTAGATGAGAATGCCTATAGCAGCAATAACGAGCTGCTGGTGGAGACGGGCACGCCTGGCGGCAAGTCGGGTAACCAGCGCAGTTTGGCGGAGATTGGACGGACGACGCACACCCCTGTGCCCAAGGGCGGGAGGGCGAACTACGACTTGGCGGCGAATGAGGAGGTCATGGGCTGGATCAAGGGGAGACAGCAGAGGATGTGCACGCTTTGCTTGGAAGAGCTGAAGGACCCGGCGGCGACTCAGTGCGGACACGTCTTCTGCTGGTCGTGTATTGGAGACTGGGTGCGCGAGAAGCCTGAGTGTCCGTTGTGCAGACGTGAGACGATGGTACAGCATATTCTGCCATTGAGGGTTGCTTAGAGCAGTCCTTTTATGGCGGTCCGGGGGACAAAATACTTAATATACGGGAGATATGACAAAAAGCAGGAGTCTTGCCACGTCCTCTCGAGAACACATTTTGGGTAGTATTTACCCATGACAAGGAGCGAACAGTCAACAACTGCGGTTTAGAGATAATTGTATATGCAGCAAGCATGTTGCCAGGAGAGAGAGAGCCTGTTTTCGTACATAGCCTAATGATTGAATGATCCGACATATTCTCAACAGGTCAGGGACTTTTGACAAGCTAATGGCCATATGTTGAAATATGAAATTGAATTATTCCTTGTCCTATATTAATATTTGGTATTTATTCTCCGAAAACTTCTCTTCCTTGATAGAATCATCGAGCCTCGTCCCGTTTGGGTCTTAATCAAGACCCGAGCAGCCTCGACATATGCCCAAAGGGTCATGAAATACATACATGAGGTGCGAAAGAGAAAATATGACACCTCAATGGAAGCCTCAAGTTCCGACCCATCTTCAAGCATCAAGCCACCAAGGTCGTGGTTGTCGTACTTGTGCTTCGCTGTCCCCCAACAGCTCGTGATCATGGACGCTTTCGCGTCATCAAGATCGTTGGCACATCATATGCCTCCCCTTCAACAGAAAGACCCAATTACCGCATGGAACGAGGAAAGAGCGACGGCGCGGATTTCGTTGTCGAATCAAGCTATTTCTTTTCGGAGTCTCCTGAGGAAACCCTTTGGATGAATTCTGCAATGGCCTCAAAGTAGCCCTCTTCGAGGACACTCGAGTTGTGGTCGCCGTTGGGAAGAGGCTTCCAGATCTTGATCGGGGCGTTGGAGAGATGATAAAGCTGCTTCATATGAGTGGGTCTAAGATGCGGGTGATGGAATTAGCAGACAGCTCTCATGCAACCCAACCGGTCACAACCACAGACCGTGGCTCAGAGTACCATATTGTGGGGTTACAATGAGAAAGGCCAGGACAAAAACTTACGGCACAATCTCGTCCTGGAGTCCACTCAAAAACAAAGTAGGTACCTTGACATTGCCGATCAAGGTGTCGGTAGCCCAGACCTGATGGCATAGGGATGCAAGGTACCGAGCAGGAGGGATGATGCTGGGTATCAGCTTGCGCATGCTGAGAAAGGTATTTTCCAGAATCAAGCCGACAATGTCGCCCTTGCCTTGGTTCTTGGACACGAGCTTAACACTAACTGCCCCACCAAGACTCTGGCCGTAGACGACATACTTGTGGTCCCGCGTCTCGGCACGATCGCGGAGATAGTCGAGGGCGGTTTGGGCGTCAATGTTGAGCCCAGATTCGTCAGGGTGGCCGGTGGAGATTCCGTAGCCACGGTATTCGAGCATAAAGATGTTGCAGCCCGCAGCTTGGAGCAACATGCGTGCGATGGGTAGACGGTGGCCAATATTACCAGCGTTTCCGTGAAACATGATCACGGTCACCTTAGAGTTGGACCCGCCCTTGGGGCCCCGAATGTAAAAGGCAGACAGCTTCTCGCCATCTTTGGTCGGGATAATAAGTTCTTCGTAGTCTTTGATGCGGTAGAAGCTGGGTCGAGGTATGTCCGTTCGAGAGCCGGGGGGCATGTGAGAGGGATAGATTAGAGCTCTGTAATACGGCAGCGCATTAATACAGGTGACGCGATTGGGATGGGAGATGTCAGATTGGGGACCACATACTTTTGCTTGAAGTAGAGCAGCCCAGTGAGGATGGCGGCGACTCCCTAGATAGGCAAAAGCCAAGGTCAGCGCATGAACATGAAGATTAGCACGACGTCTCCCCGGTAGAGATCACTTGATAGAGACGGGGAGGGAGAAAGCATTGGACTTGCCCCCTTGGCCAGTCGACGCGGACGGCTCAACAGCCATTCAGGCACCGGGCGGGAGAAACAGGAATGCCGGCTCATACAGTAGAGGCTATCACCGGCAGGCGCAAGTGGCTTGCGGCGCTGCTCAGCAGAGACACTATCTGCACCAGGAAAGAATTGCCATCAGGAGCCGGAGGCGTGACATTTGGAGATGACATGCTTGCCGAGGCGAGCGAGGGTTGAGGGCCGTGGGTGGACGCCTGACCGATCGGGTGCCGGCTTTGAGTGGACTTCTTTGGCTCTGTTGGCTTCCGGGCTGCAAGTCTGCGCAGATTGATTGATTGACGTTAGGTACCACGTCCAACGGAGTGACGGAGTGACGGCGTGACGGGGCTCCAGACAGGCGAGACAGGGCAACCTAGAGCAAATGGCGGTAGGGAAACAAGTCTGCAGGGAAGCTCAGCTCGGGGACCTCTTTGGCTTGACGCGGTCTGCAAGGTACGGACGGCTAAAAGAGACCCAAGCCAAAAGAACTCGTGGAAGTGGGAAGCTCCGGGATGGTCACCAACCCTCAATGCTTGCTTACAGGGAATATTATGGACGCCACGACGCCGACAGGGAAAAATGACAGTACGGAAAGGAGGGGGGTGCAACTTCCGGTCAATTGACCCGTCCATTATTTTACGAACGGATTTGGATTGTTAATGATCAATAAATGGTCGTTCTTTCCAACGTTGTAACTTTTCGACGTTTCGGAACTTCGTAGTTGACAGTACAACGCTTTCGGGCATTTTAGTTACATTTTGTAAAGTTTCTCAAAGCTATACAGTCATTTGACTGGACTTATATCGTAAGAGCTGCCTTGAACGCCCGGGTGTGTCGATCTGTTAGTGTAATCGACCAGAAGCTGCACCCCCCCTCTCCCCGTACGGAATGGAGATGTGGATGAGAGTGATGGGGCCAACAAAGGGGAGTCCAAGCTCCTAGAACTAGAAAGCGTCCCAGGGAGACGGGACCTGCGGCGGCAGGGCGCCAAAGACCATATCAAACTATACACTACAAAAAGACTCAAAATGTCAACCTCAACTCGGATAAAGACTCCTTATCCATGGGGGTCTGCTTTGTTGAATAACTTCTATCACCACCAAGTTCCTCTACTCATCACCATTGAGTAGAGACTTCACAATTCCTGTCCACAGGCTAGGGACTTCAAGGCGGGCTTTACTGTAATTGCGCTGCAGGGTTCTAGCTTCATGTTGACGTGCTGCTTATGTGCCTACAGCCCACATACCTACTCCATCAGTGGCGCCCCGCTGTCAATGTCGGCGAAGAAGGCGCGCGTGTCCCGTCGTGAAAAACCTCGAGCCATACTAGATTAGGCTAGTTCATTTCTCGCAGCGTAACCGACGGTCGAGTTGGGATAAGCTTCCGGGAGTATCATCACAACTTTTCACGAAGGCCAATGAGACAACCTGTGCCGTACTTCTGAATGCCCCGGCAGTTCATAGAGACTGACGATATTTTCAAACTATCCTTCCCTTGTAGTGTATATCCAATGCTGGGTCCTAAGTCCTATATCCCTCATTTCACCTCTGAAATTCAGTAAGAGAAGGATCGCCGACAAGGATCGCCGGCAAGGACCTCGTCAGATGGCGACGTGCTAAACCAGGCTCCCAGGTACCACTCGTACATACTACACCATGTAGACTACCTGGCGCTCATGCGGATCTGTATTGCCAAGCTCCATCAAGTCGACCCAAGATAGCTGTTTTGAATGTCATTCTCGATGACCAGCTTCCCCTTTGGACTACTAGTATTAACCTACATGTATGTCCCTCAATGCTCATTCTGACCAATCTCAGGGAAAACACATTGCACACATAGAGAAAAGAGAAATCGAGGCAGCTAAAGTCACGGTGTGCCCAGATAGAGTCACGGTATCTAAACCTAAAGGGGATGTCCCTTCATCCCGCCGTTATATACGCTGACCAGACCTCCAAAAAAATTCGGCGATTTGGCCTAGAACATCACCACATCGTTTGCGCTGGTACGAGATTGGAGTGTCTACTTTTAGTAGAATCCAATGTAGTCCTCGTTGTACCGCAGGTCAATTTATACTGGCGGTTCAAACCTGACGTTGTGAATTCAGTTCTCTCCAATCATTAACTAAAAAAATGTACCATCTGTAGCCCCATGTCGGGACATCCCCTTTAGGCTTAGATACCGTGACTTTATCTGGGTACACCGTGACTTTAGCTGCTTCGAGAGAAATAAGCCATCTCGTCCCCATATGGCCACGTTGGATTCCCTGTTCGTCTAAGCAGAGGCTTACCCCTTAACCCACTAGCTGAGTTTGGGACTCTCTGAGTATAACAATCAAGCATCGGCTGCGGCAAGAACCAGCCGGATGGAATGTCCCAAATAGTGGCCTTGAAACAGTTGAAAGATGGCACAGTCCAAGCGGCGGGTTGCCATGCGCAACACAGATGGGACACATGGAAGCCCATGGACAGAGCATCGAGGACCAACAGACATTTGCTCTTCTCTACTCATATCTATTGATGAAACACCATGCATGGACTGCAACTTCAATCCGCAGACCTCTTTGTCCAGATGCAAACTTGATGGCGTATGTACAACTCTAGAAAGGAACCATCCATGATCTATGCATGAGACGAACGGCTGTTGAACTCGTCAATACTTGGGTGTTGGTATGCAGAACATAGATGCACCCCTGATCAACCAGGTTCATGCCCCTGAATCGGCGGAGTCAGCTTAGACGTGAAGATGGTTACATACTTCTACCTGAAGGACCAACTGTATGCAGGGCGGGTTCTCTATCACACCAAAAATACTTACCACATTCCTTCGAAACAAGGACGGCGTCAATCATGTTATGGTTCGACGTGACTATATTCATTTATCTGGGTTTCAGTTGATTTCGGAGGGGAGGCGTGTGCGGTCAGCGACCGTGTCCGCACTTTCGAACTCTCCGTTACTGTGGCAGATGATATATCCCGTAATTATGTAGTTAGTACCTAATACTTATACTGCGCAGTTTCTTGGCGTGTCAGGTGAGCGGCTCTCTTCAAGTCTCGAGACCCCTCCTGCTCTGAGCCTGACCACACAGGAGAGATCATGCCTACAATCACGTCGCATGCTTCTGGTCCAAGAGGGTCATTGTAAGCCTTGACATAGGTGTTTTCGGTCTTTCGTCTTGGGTAGTTCCATCATTTCAAGACGAAGAAACCTGTTTCACAATACATATCAGAGTCTGATCACTCGTCTTGGCCGATGGGGTTAGGTTACATCTGGTTTTCCCCCTACCCCAGGGGTTGTTGTATCTACGAAGGCCGCTTTGACTTTCTTTTTTATATGAATTGAAACGCGCTTGGGGTGCCTCAACCAACCAGTAGCGCGCCTCATCCGTGTATTGTGTGTCCAGATGCTGTTAGGCGCCACAGCCTCTACACCTCCGCTCAGCGGCTGTCTGGCCCTGTCGGCTGGTTCACTTGGTTGCCCAATGCGGCCGGCATAATTCGGGAAGTCTTTCGATACAGCAACTGAAGCTGCTGTGCTCCGCACATAACAGAGGTGAGCAGCGCTAGGTACTGGTAACCCTGTAATTAGCGATCAGAGGTATAACGATATTCTGTCTATAACGTTCAGATTATGGGGAACAGTGCAGATTTGTATGGCGATAATATGGCAATAACGATCAACCTCTGATTTACGATTTAGATCAAGATTATTGCTGACTAATACACCAAAATCGTTATTTTTACAACCGTCTGACAGCTCCCGCCAGCTCTTCATCTAGCGATGCTTAGAAGGCGCCAGAAACTGTTGGTCTGGGATCAGTTGAGCGCCCGGGACGAGAAACGGCAGTCAACCATCGATTCGTACTTCACAAACAGCTCTACAGCGAAATTACTATAGTAAACAGTTATTCAATACAAGCACGTTGTTCTCCAGCCTTTTCAACCCCCCTGTCAGTAGAATTGTGGGCTCAAAATACCCCAACCTTACATTAGCGATATCCTGGCCATAACGATCAATCCACCAGAAACCGCCCTGATCGCTAATTACAGGGTTACCAGTAGAGGTATGTTGTGGTTGAGTGAGACGGACCCCCAGAGCAAGCCTCCCGTCAGGCTTTCGTTTTGCAGAAGTACTGACAGGTAAAGAGAATGTCCCGTCTGTAACAGGAACGCCCAAGGCTTGACGGTGAGGTTAATGGCCTTCAAGTATTCAGGTTGAGTTGGCATTTGGCTCTCAGCTTGGAACGCGAATCGGCAGGGAATTATTAGTAACGCCAACAAGGTGAAAGTGGAAGGGGAGCCACGAGCTAAAGACGGGCCCGGGCGGGACAGGTGGGCTACACTGTGGATTAGCGGGTGGGGCCTAAATTCCTGCAGCAACGGACCCGCTCGCGCTAAACATGCATCAACGCCTAGACTAAACTGCAGCCAATCCTCACCACCATCTGGGGCACTCGGGAAACTTTTTTTTTTTTTTTTTATCCAGTTCTTATCGGCACACAAAAATTCCGACAAGTCGCAACACCAGCCACGCAAGCGCAGAATCCCAACTAAAAGTTGTCAGACGCAAAGGCCACTCGCTCGTACATCTGTCGGCATTGGCGGGAGTTCTCAAAGTGTTAGTCCTGCCCTAGAGGTCCGTTCCGTCTGTCAGTTTCTGTGCTTCATCTCAGCTTTGGACCTGTTCGTCTGATTCGGCGCACCGAGCCACCATCCAGTCCCCTCTCATTGACTGTTGTCTTCTCAGCCCGTTTGCCTTCTGCTAGAGACGCACTCAGCCTCCTGCAGTCTTACAGCTCACTTGCGCCCCCATCTGAGTGCTGTTCGTTTCTGGCAAGATCTGCACCAGAAAGCATAGTCAAAGTTGCGTGAAGTCGCAATCGGCCTGTTGAGACTCTGCGTCCCAACATCTTATCGTCGACAAGCAACACCAAAGACGCATCGCTAGGTTCGCTTGAGCAGGCAAAGCCTTTCCTCAAGTTCAATTTAACCTTGCCAGGATTACCGACTCGCAACCTTTGATCCACTCAATCAGCCGTCAGACCAACAGATAATCCTACTCAGCCGCCCGCAATAGAGCACTTCGACGCCGGACCACACTGTGACTTGTTGACCTGAGCAAGTCGTCCTAACCTCTGCTTACTCTTCGCCAATTGGGATTAAACTTTGTTTCACCGTTAGAGACAACACACCAGACTGCAATCATGGTGTCCTTTTCTTGTGAAGTAAGTCGCAAACCATCACAATCCTAGCGTGGTAATCATGTGTCCTCGTCGATTAGCGCAGATGCATTTGTATGACATCTGTCCATGGCACGCTTCCCTCCTTCATCATGCGGAACATCCCATATAATGGTGGTTATACTACCTACATATGGTCGTCGGTCTATCACCCCTCCATCAATCCTTGACCTGCCTCCAGGTTTGACATAAAGTACATAGTACACCCCAATGCCCCAACTCTCTTCTCCCTGTCAGACATCTCGCCCCTTCTCATCCCCTTGCTGTCCGAGAAGGGCAATCTAAACTGACATCACACACATTCCCGCCCACCATCTCCCCGGGTAACCACCAACGAAAGGGTGTCCCTGTGCACCACTAACAACCACCCCTCTTCACCTTTCCGCACGCCCCTCGTTATCTAGAGCTGATCCGGCTGGTCTCCCTACCCGGCCCCGGCTCTTTCTCACCCCCTCACATCTTCTGTCGGCTTTCTGTCTGGCCTGCCTTGACTCAAACTTAGCTCATATCTTCTTGCTTTCTCTCTCAAACCTCAATTCCCGGTCACACGTATTGTTATCTAACCACTCATTTCTTGGGTTATCACAGGTTTGCGGCGACGTCTTGACCAAAAAGAAGCTCGACCCGCATCGCCAACGCTGCTGGGGTGCAAACTTCACCTGCATTGATTGTATGACCCACTTCCCGGGTACTGAATATCGCTCCCATACGGTAGGATCCCATCTAGCTCAAGTCGCGCGATGCCCAACGGTTGACGTCTCGGACTTGATCCCCGCTGACCGTTCTTTAGAGTTGTATGACGGAAGAGCAAAAATATCAGGGTGCTTTGTATCGACCCAAGAAAGGAAAAGGCGCACAAAATCAGAACCAGAATCCAAACCAGAACAGGAATCAGAATAACTCTCAAGCCATGGCGCAACCCGCGTATGTCGAGGAGGTTGCGGAGGACTTTGACACATGGCGCCAGTACGACAACAACGGCAATGCGCCTGCTCAGGCCCCCACTCCTCCTTCGGCAACTGAGGCTCCTGTCAACGTTTTCGACTACATGGTCAACCCTACGCCAACCGCCTCGCGCGTTTCCGTTGCGGAAGAGCAGCCTGAGCAGAAGGAGAGCAATGAAATGGTACGCTACGAGTCCAAGACCGAAGAGACCACAGAGAACGCTGTTGTTCACCACGAAACCCCGGCGCCAAAGAAGAAGTCCAAAGGTGGAGAGAAGGAGGTTAAGAAGGATAAGAAGAGGAAGAGGGAACTCCACATCGAGACAGACCATCCGATGACCGACGCGCCCCCTGTTTTGCATTCCGGATTGACTGGAGGAATCAGCCGCATGATGAGCAGACCCGATGTCTTCCCTCCCTCGCCAGAGTCCGCGGAGACGCCGGCTAGCCCACTCAAGAAGTCCAAGCACTCGAAGCACCACAAATCAGAGAGTCTTGGAAACAGTCTGATGGCTATGATTGCTGGTTCGAAGCTCAAGAAGAGCAAGTCCTCGAAGACGAAGGAATCGAAGGACACCAAGGAAGGGAAGGAGAAGAAGTCATCGACTGCGTCGCCGTCGTCCAAGAAGCACAAGCACAGTCACAACAAGTCGCTCGAAGTACCCAAGGAGCAAAAGATGATTGAGTACACGCCCGGTTCCAAGGACGGCGCCGTCGAAAAGGACAAGGATAACCAGGTCGTCATCTTCCAGCCTCGCGCCGAGCGCTTTCTGAGCTTCGTCAACAAGGGCCCCGAGAGCGATAAGGGTGTAAGCCTTAACAAGGCACTGAAGCGCTATCACCGCGAGCGCAGCGCGTCGGGAACTAGTGTGAGCAAGCTGGCGGAAGAGAAGGAGCTGTGGCGGTCATTGAGGATGAGGAGGAACGATAGGGGGGAAATTGTGTTGTTCTGTGTTTGAGTAGATGCCCGGGGTGGAAAAAGCACGAGGAATGTAAAACAAGGACAACAATGTAACAAAAAAGAAGGAACGAAGATGGTGTGCCACGGTGTTTGTTGGGGGGGGGGGGGGTGGGGGGGGGCACACCTGTCCATTCTTGTGTTGGAATTATACCATACCCATACCATGTGTTACTACTTTCCTATTCTGTTTACATTTCGAAAAGGGCAAATACTGGAACAACCAACAGATGCATCTTGGAGCTCATTTTCCTCATTACCCCCCTCGGCCACGGGTACAATATCCAACACCAAACGACCCCCCCCGGATGCGTGGTTCATAAATGACCCCAACTCACCAAGTATTCCATTTCCATCAATTGACAAGTGGGCATTGTGGTCGAGCGGTGCGGTGCGCCGAGTGAGCTCTCATTGCACTTTCCACCTCAGCTCACCCAGAGGGTTGCGCTACCACACGCCAGGACAGGAGTATCACCCCTGCCGCCGCACGTAGGGCACCTAGGCGACGGACGGGAGCCTAAACGCCTTCTGTGCGGGGGAAGTGCTTCCCTGGAAGTCAACTGTAAGGTGGTGTCTTCAGGCTACGCAAGATAGGGCTCTTCTACTCCCTTCCACCTAGGCAAGACGTCAGCCGTTCGATTCCTACCCTTGTCTCCATTTTTTTTGGCACTTGTTTTTTTTTTTTTTCAGCGGTGTGAGATAGTTGAGGGAAGTTTTTGGTTTGGTATGTATATATATTAAGAGGGAAAAAAAAAGAAACGGATGACGGTGATGAAGCTATCACCAGATCTTGGCGTTGACTAGCGTGTTAAATATACTGTGTCCCCTTGTCGAACGGTGGATTGTGTCTGGGTTCATCATCAGTGTGCAACGACCATCCTTGCGCGAAAACTTTGGTCGGATACAATCATGTATGTTTATCTTCTTCCTACCCATTTACCTGTGGCATATTATTTTGGCGCTTTGCTTGAGGACAAAGTGGATGTTTCTTGTACTAGTATTTGCTGATAGGAGATGTCCCTCCCTTTCGCTTTTGCACCTGGCTTTTTGATATTGGATTATTTTGTGACGGGTTCGGGCAAGGGTAGACTACTATGAAAACCAAAAAAAAGAAGAAGAAAAAAAAAAAAAAAGAGAAAAAAAAAAAAAAGAGAAAAAAAAAAAAAAGGCCATGTACAAGTAACATCTGACAGAGAAGTTCGAAACAAAGATCAAGCCTGTTATCTACAATAATCAAAATGTTATTTTGAGCGTGTCCTTCGCTAAATGATCCTTCACTAAATAATTCAAATGATCCTACACACTACAAGCAGGCGGCTCTAGTGTATAACTTCTAAGCAACCATCGTAGCCGTCACCATTTCAGTTTCGGTCTCTACCTGTTCTCCAGAGGCAGACGAACTTCCTCCATCCACCAACGACTGCTCGGGTTCCTTTTCTTCATGCACAGCAGTGCCGACACTCTGTTCTGTATCCGATGTCACCCCGTTCCCTTCCTGGACATCGCCATCTACACTGGCAATCTTGGACTGTCCTTCTGCTTCTCCTTCAGACACAGATCCCGATGTACCGCTCTTCTCCTTCTCCTGTTCCTGTTCCTCCTCCTTCTCTGCAGCAGTCTCCCAATCCTCCTCCACAACTTCCGGCCTCTTCTTCAGTTCCGCCACAGGCTTCTTCTCCATAATCTTTCTGAGCGTAACAAATGACCTCGTCAACGGAGCTGCCGCCTTCTCGGGCTCGGCTGTCGACGTCTTAGAACCGCCTCCAAGCCGTCTCCAAGACCCGCGGCTGGCAACCGCATTCCAGCCACCTGCACCTCCTCTTCCATTCTCGGCTTCTCTCCGAACCACATTCAACGAGTCATCAGCGTGGCAGAGCACCACACCGCCGGTAGCCAACTTGAAAAGAGACACTGTTTTGGTCACGGCGGATTTGAGCGTCATAAGAGCAGATTCGATGGCTTGTGGTGTTGGCGCGATGGAGGAGTTGGCGATGGCCGCTGCTGTAGAAGCAGGCACGGCTTTGATCAGGATTTCCTCCGTGGGGAGGAAGTTGGTGGTGAAACCGACGGCTGTCAAGCCGGATTTGGCCACGCTTCTGATATCGGCGGCGAGGGCCTGGTCTAATTCCTCGATGGTGAGGCCGAACCGGGGCTCCTTGAGGAGCAATGCGTTGAAGGCTTCCTGCTTGGGGGAAGCGACGACCGGGGCAGCTGCCACGGGCTTGAGGAGACTGGCGGTGGCCTTGGCGATACGGGCGCACTGCGCAAGTGTCTTGGAGGGCGCAGCGACGAACCGCGGGGTCTTGAAGATGCAGACGTGCCGATGAGGCTCGGGGTCTTGACTCTCGGAGTCGAGGCCGAAGTCCTCGGCTAGACTGTGCAGGAAGGCGCGTTGGGAGGAGGGCATGGGCTTAAATCTGAGACGCTTCTCGTCGGGCGAGGAGGCGAAGACGCGGAACTCCCGCTCCTGAGTCTGGGACCAGTTGACGTTCTCCTTGAACATCTTGAGGGTCTTGTCGGAGTAAGGGATGTGGTCGTCCGTGTGGGTGTCGTCGATCTTGAGGGCATTGGCTAGCTTGCGGTTCCGCTGCAGTCGGAGACATTCGTCGTCACATTTTAGCGAAGACTCCCGCGCCGACGACGGACTCAGCATCGTGGCCATGCAACGGACTTCCTGCTTGCGATTCTGGCATGGACAGGTGATGAAGGTTTTGGACTGGCAAGGCTTGTCCTCCTTGCAAGGATACGGAGCGTGACATTGATCTGCGCAAGTGTGTTCGCAAGACTTGCGTACTTTGCCGCAAGCCTGGGCGCAGTGGGAGCCAGGGATGCCGGCATCTTCGCAATCGCCTGGCTTGTGGCATGTCTTCTTGCACACATGTGATCCGCACTTAAGCTTCTTTCCACAAGGCAGCCCACAGTGAACTTCGTTGTTCCAGCACGGCCGATTCTTCATGATTTCCTTTCCGCAAATGCAAAGCTTGTCCATCAATGATGGACACTTCGGACAAGGAGTGTCATCTGGATGACAGGAATGAGGAACAGTAGGATGACCACATGGCTGGCGCCGTCTACACGGGAATCGACACTCGGGCGGCCTCGTTCCGCAGGGCTGAGGAGGGTAGAGGACAGTGCGCCCGCAACTGCAGCTGATCTCGTCGAAAACAGCTTCCACACATGACGGGCATTGACCCTTGTGGCAAAGTTGCTGACATGTGTGTTGACCACACTTTAGTGTGCGGCCACAAACCTGAAGACAGATGTGTTCCGCTTCATAATTCTCATTCGGACCCCGATTCTTCTTCTTGCGTCGTTCTGCGGCCTTCTTCTCGCCTGGACAACAACGCTCGCCGCACTCATGCCTGCCGCAGTTGAGTTGAACCCTGCAAACCCTGAAGCACATTGGATGTTCGATCGTGCCCTGGTGACAGGCTGACTGGGTCTCTGTCCTGCCGCAACGGCACGAGATCTCGACGACCTTCGAACACATCCCACAGGGGCCAATGTGGCATTTCTTCTCACACAAATGGCCGCAAGGAAGAACCTTCTGGCAAGGTTTATCGCAGTGAGGTATCGCGTCCTCGCATGATTGACGCGGAGGTACTGGCAACGACGTTAATGGGGTTTTTCCGCATGGGCAGTGAGTGACCACATCGGGAGAGAACGGGCAGTGTGTCGAATCTTCATCTTGTGGATGGCAAGGCTTCTGGCACGTGTGATGTCCACAGTCGTAAGTTCTGCCACAGATGCTGCTGCACCGGAATGAGCCTTCAAACCAGGAGTCCGACTCAGCTGTCTCTGCGGAATCTTGTAACTGTCCGTAATTGAAAGAATCCATGATCTCATCGCGTTGATCGCATGCTATTTCCTTCTGCTCCTTTCCGCAGTAGCATGTCGACAAGAGAGGAATCTCGCAAGCTCCGCACAGCCCAGGGTGACAGGTCTGAGAGCAGAAGTGCTCTCCACATGGGAGTAGATCGCCGCAAACCGCATCGCAACTGAAACCTTTGCCATACTCGGTCTCAATGCACCGTCTCGTCGAGGTATGCTTGCCGCAATAGCAAGTCTGAGAAGGCCCCATCAATGTACATGGCGGACAGGGTCCCGCATGACACATCGATGAACACGGATGGGGGCAAGTAGCCCGAGGCTTGGAACATGTTTGTCCACAGGTATGAGGAGGCAGTCCGGGGATAGGTTTCGGATCAATCTCCTTTTTACACCAACAGCGATCCGGTCCGGGCTTCTCGACAAGTTGCGAGTTGCAGCCTGGACACCTCCAAGACAATGGCTGGTCAGCACTTTGCTCCTGCTGCTCCGCATTTTTCTCTTGGTTGGCATGCCATTTCTTGACGCACGAAAGGTGAGTGACAGTCCAGCAGACGGAGCATGACCAGATTCGAGTATTGCGCGTCAGCTCGTTGGTGCATATTACGCATTCGTAAAGTCCTGAAGCAATATCCTCGTGGATTCGGGTGGTCAAATCAGGCGCCGAAGACTTGGAGGTATTGGATGGCGCAGGACGATGCTCCTTTTGACGTTTCGCGGCGGCAGCTCTAGGTTGTTGGGTTGGGACTGCAAGTGGTTGGCCGGGGACAAAAGCGGGAGCATCCGCGCTTAATCCGGCGCCTGATGCAGTGTCGTGCTCTTCCGCAGTGGACGGAGCCGCCGCTGTCGCTGGAGGTGGTGCCCGTCCTCGATGGGATACCACGATCGATCGTTGAGCAGATGAGACTCCTCTCCCGCGCCGAGGTCCACCTCCTCCACCTCCTGGCCTCCTTCGTCCTTCTCCTTCTTCCCTTGAATGTCCTGAGGGCGCACCCGGCGTAAGCACCGATGGTGGGGGCACGTTTGCATTCGCCGTTTCCAAGAGATTCCTTGAGGATTCGGCGGATTGCACTGGTTGACTGGCATCGCCACCGGTGTTTGGTCGCTCGGAACCATGATGACCTCTCCGCGGCCTGCCTCCACGTCCTCTGCCTCTGCCTCTGCCTCTGCCTCTGCCTCCCCTGCCTCCCCTGTCAGAACCGCCTTGATGGGTAGCGGGTTGAACGTCCGCCATGGTGATGTTTGAATTCGTCAGTCCTTGAATATTTGACGCCACTGCGATGTTGGACGACTCGTTGCGACTGTTTGCTAGGTGGCGTATCGTATCGTTGAATGCGCTTTTTGAAATACAGCGTCTTCAGAGAGTGGAAAAAAAAAAAAAAAGAGCACTGGGCTCAAGTGCACCCAAAGTACAAGCTCAAGATGAACTTGCAAAAGTGCAACAGTGAACGGGTTCCGAAGTGAGAAAAATACTTCAGTGGGCACGATTTTGAGAGAGCAATGTCGCGCTTTTTAAGCAAGCCGCAGCCGGGATAAGAACCTCCACTTGGTGAGCCTGAACTGGAGTGAAGCCTTTGAAGTTTTGAAGAGAAGGCGTGGACGGGTACGGTAAGATTACTAACGGGGACTGAAATGGCTCCAGGAGGGTAAGTTGGTGGCGTTTCCGGGCATTCTCCGCCTGTCGTTGCTGCCCGGTCCCACTAAAAGAGGGCTGCGGAATTGTCAAATTCAGCTTCCACGGCCCAAGCAGGCCAAGCAGGGAGGAGCTCCTCTCGCCACTGTGAGTCACGATTAATCATACCAGAATCATCCGCCTTCCACTTTTATGTTCGTGTACAGTCTAAACCAGGCAGAACTGCCTTATCAATTTTCGCCTTGCAACTTGCTCAACGCTAGGATACAGCCAGGCGGGTCGACTGTACACGGCATTGGATTTCTACGGAGTGGATGTAAATGGCCGACATCGACATGCAACCGCCTGTCAACAAATTGTCTGCCATTGACATAGAGCAATCATTTATCATGAAGCATCTGGGAATGCACAGTCTTACCTTTCTTCTCGCTCCTTACCCTTGCTCTTGGAGGGAGATTCCAGCATTGGGTATCAAGCTCCGTAATCGCGGTCATTCAGGTTCAGCATATCCGGAGTGGGCCCCGGCGGGTTCGACACCCGCATCTCGGCCTGGCCCCGTAGCATTGTGCCCTTCGGAACGGACATCCACTCGGGCGGGGAATCGGAGGGCGTGTGGACCCATATGCGCCAATCAGGAGAATCCCCGTTCTGCGTTTTTAACATGTGTGATCACCGGCCAACGAGATACTTCCATCACGGAGGCATACCTCTAGGCACAAAGTAAACTAATCTGAACCACTGACAAGTGCCGCACTCCATGCGCGGTCATCGCTGCCCTGGCATAATGGCAGGTTCATCATCATCCGTCGTGCATGACTTTCCGGTTCTTGCCAGTCATATACCGTATAGACTCGGGCCATCCGTTTTCAGCTAAGCATTGCAGACTGCGCAAATCTCTTCCAAAACCCAAACCCTAAGGCACGCCTGTTATGTTTCTGTAATCGCCATTGGTAAAGCTGCCAGTTAGGCCTTGGAACCTGAAAACGGATGGCCCGAGTCTATACGGTAATTGGACGGCGATTCAGACGACGTACACAATTCTGTGTAGTGTACACTACATAGTACATCTCTGCCCGGCGCCCGGTCGCGGGGGATATTTAGATCTTGTGTATTTACCCTTAGTGTAGAGCGGTGGCAAAAAGCAGGTCTTTAGTGTACAGAAGAATAGCAGTCATACAGCAAGAAATCCTAGTTTCGTGTAGGCTGCGTGTAACACTACCCCCCCTTTCTTTTTATCCTCCTTCCCAGCAGTGTGAAAAGCAAGCACAGCGATATAGTGGAGACCAATTGTGCATCGAGGCTATCGGATTTGGAGGTTTTGGGATGCAAAGGCCTGAATGGCTTCCCTGGTTTGTCAACACAAGTAGTGGCGCGCATGATTCAGTCCATTTGACTGGTGCCAGGTGCCATGGTCATCTGTCCCTCCATATTCCCAGCATGTGTTACTATGCTTTCACCGCTCGACCTTCAGGGGACATTATGCTTGCTTCATTGGAAAGCGTGATGGGGAAGACAGGTAATCAGTGGATGTACGGATTTTGCACGTGCATATTGTAGGGACTCGTCACAAGCCGATAATCCACAATGGTGATGGATTGGTTGATGGGACAAGTAGACGCACGTTTTCTCCCCTTGCCTCGACGGTTGAGTGGTTTCCACATCAACTGGTTAGACCGACGGCTATAGGCAAACACACCAGCAGTGGCTGCGTAATTGTAAATTGATAAAATGCCCCAGATCGAAGACATTGATGGCAACCCGGACGGGAGCAATGGAACAATGCCGTGCGGACCACCCTACGCACCGTCGGACCTGATTGATTGCACCTGGAATGTGATATCGAACTTGCCATCCAAAAGGGGTGTTGGTGAAAGGTGTACAAAAAGTGCTGTCTGATATCATGTCGCCCCACCACTTTCGGGATACCGGCGTGTCCTCCTATCAATAAAAGTCAGTAAAAGATTTTGAAGGTAATGTGCATATGAGCTTTTTTCAGCCGTGTCTCTTCTCCTTCTCTACTATTAAAGTAAGTACGTACTCAAGGCTGGTTGGGTTAGCCGATATGGCTTTGCATTTCAGGCTGTTATTGGCATCCTTCTGGGTTCAAGTGCTGCGTTCAACGTGAAAGCCGCCTGACCCGTTAGACCCGTCTCTCAAAGTGATGATCAACCCTGATTGAGAGGCGATGGTCCTTTGAACCGGAAAGCGGCTCCCACCGACGACCGTGAGTGTTGAAGATCCGTCACCCCCAAATGAAAGCCAAACCCCAAGAGCTGCGGTTTCGGGAGGCCGAATGGAATGTGCGAACAAGGTCGGGCGTTTTCAACTGGGTCCTGCTAGGGGTCAACAGACCCCTACGGAGAAATCATGCTGCCAGTCATTCTGTCGACAGCGCGCTAACACCTCGGGACACTTAGGCCGGGGCGTGGCAGGCTTGGTTCGCTTACGCCGTACCGGGACCGGCGCTAGGCCCAAGGGAGCGTCAATCGGGATCTCCGTCCTCCAGGGTTTTCACGTTGACGGCTTTCAGTTGGTCCAGTTGCGGCTTCCGGCTTTTGGACTACGAGGGCGCGCAAGAGCGACGGCGGCGGCAGAGGAGGAATTGGAAGGTGGTGTGCGACTGTCCGGATGTTCATGGGTTTTGCTTTGATGGGAGGATGGTGCGCTCCACTGAGCCATCATGGGCCAGTGCCAGGCCATTTGATTGGTGCATTCGACGTGTCGCTACCGGGTAAAAGACCCCGCCTCCTCCACCCCTCCACTCTGGTTCGCCGGCCTGGGGACCCGACTCCTCCTCCTGCTAGTGTACGTACCGGCCCGGGCATTGTCAGACTGTCAGATCAGACAAGTGCGTGGTGTAGTTCCATCACTCACTCAGCTACACTACCAGGCTGCCTCTAGATTTTTGTGGCCCGTTCATGCCATCGATTTGCTTCCGTACAAGCACGGGCATCGCTGCGCCATTCTTCACGATTCAAACTTTCAGGTTCATCTTAACCAAGGAAGTAGAAGCTGGCCATTCACATTCACGGGTTTACCCCAGTGGCCATCGTTTCCTTGCCCACTGAGCGCACTGCACTCGACACATTAAAGCCCAGTCTTGTCACTTGCAGTGCATTGCCCTGGCCATTGGATTTGCCCACTTTGCGGGCTAGCTTCCAGAACCGTCCCAGCTCTCCCGGTCTCTCAGCTGCAGGAATCGGCCCTGTCCTTTTTCAGGTTCTCATCCTGTCGTCTCCATTTGCCATCCGCTCTGCCAGTCGCAGCTGCAGGTGCCTGTCCCTTGAATACTTAGGTAGAGGTAGGTTCCAGGTCGTTGCGGGTTACCGTGCCGCAGCAAATAAACCACCTCCGCCCACCGCCTTTTTTTTTCCCAAGAGGTTTCCATTTTCTTTTTCTCACTGAGCACAGAAACTCAGTTTCTTACCATCACGTCAACAGAACCATCCCCCCGTCCTGTGTGCGACGCAGGCGTGGATTCACCGTCTCAAAAGCTCGCTCGCAGGCATTGTCGCGGGCACGGCACCTACCGCCAGGGCTTTCCATCGACGGGTACCGGATACATCGCCGGATACTGGAGACTGGAGACTGGATGCCCCATCCCCATTCCCATCCCAGTGACCGAGACCAGATCCAGGTCACCTAGCCCGCCAGGTACCTCAGTCCAGGCCAAAAAAGAAAACCACACCCTCGAATCCGACCCGACCCTGACCCGATTCCCAAGCATTGTTGTCGCGGAGGAAAAGACAAGGATATCTTGTTTGCTGCGCCCAGTGCAGTGTGTTGCGACAGCCTCCCGGGTTTAGGAATCACAGAAATACCTGTTGTATTTCGCTCGCGTCTTCCGTATTCCATCCTTTTCTGCGCCAGTCCATGATTTCTGTGTCAAGGTAACAACAGGTCGGGTTTTAAGAAAGCATCGACTGCCACGCCCATCACCATGGAACCCGTCCCAGAGACCGAGCGAATGGAGGAGTTCCGCCCCTCTCCTCTTCCCAGTCTGAGGGTCAACGCACCCGAGTTCGACTACTTGCGCAAGCCGCCCACCCTTCGCCGATCAACCGACCCCTCTCCAGCATCCCCCACCTCGCCATCTTGGTCGACTCCCACGCTTCCATATCGCCCTCGCGCCTCCTCCCCGCTGTCTACGCTTCATGTCAGGTCGAGGTCTGCAGTAAACCTAGCACCACCTATGGCGCGCACTCAGTCTATGCCCGGCGTAAACGGGTCCGGTCATCTTCTCTTCTCACCACATATCCGGCCACAAAGCCCTGCTCAGTCGCCGAGCCGGGTCCGTCCTTTGCGCAAACCAGTCGACGAAGTTTTCCCTTCCTCGCCAACTCGTGTCTCGGTCCATGACCTTGAAAGGCAGCTTTCCGAGAGAAACAGCTCGCCAAACCTCACCCTTGGGTCAACATCTACAGTAACTTCAACGGCCCGACTACGAAGACCTTCTTCACCTTTACGGCTTGTTCATCATGCCAGCACCACATCGTTGTCATCCGTACCATCAACTCCTTCTTCAGTCGCATCGTCGCCATCCTACCGAGCTCACGACTCGTTTTCCAGCAACTATTACACAACCTCCATGCCTTCAACACCTACTTCCATGAGATCCAGGAGCCCCAGTATTTCCAGTCTTGAAACCATCCCAGACACCCCAGATGCCGAGGAGGCCGCTCTAGAAGCCGAGAGAATCGCGCAACTGAAGGCCGCAGCGGAGGCGGCGGAAGATGGCGGTGATACCAAAAGCAAAGCGAATACGGATGCTTTGTCGCGAGGCAGGACATTAGGGTTTGTTTCCAGAGACAAGCGGAAGCGGTGGAGTGTCTGCGGTGCCGAGAGGAGACAGGATCTCGATTTGGAGACTATTTGGGAGGATTAAACCTTTCGGACCTGTTAGTGGTGTGTTTCTCTTGGTCCGGTACAGTACCAAGAAACGACGCCCGTCACAGTAGCGACACCCAGACAGGCAGATGCGCCCGGTGTTCCCGATCTGGGTACGAGGACGAGGTTTATCTTGTTTGCATACTGGGCGGCGGCTTTTTTTCAGTCTTTTCTTCTTTTTTTACCAAGCATATCGGCATCGAACTCTTTCAACCATTGGGAAATATGGGCGGCGTTTGGTGGGGATGGAATTGTTCCCTTCGATACCCTCTCTGCATGGGTGTCCGACAGTCGAAGGACGCCTATGGCAGCAGCCGTTCTTGTGCGTTGGGTAAAGCAAAGCACTTTGCGATGAATGTGGTGTGGGTTTTGTTTTCAGCCATCATCATGAATGAGGTCAATTTGTCGTTTTTTTTCGCGGCCTTCTTTTTCCTTCGCTCGTTTCGTTTAGCGACTATTGGTTGGGGCCTTGGAATGGAGTTGGACTGTATGTTACCATCGGATTTCCCTACGGCTTGAATTAGTTAGTCATAAGCGCTCTAAAGGATTTGCCTAGCCCTCTCCATATCATCATCAAACTGGATTGTGATTTGTTGTGGAATGTGCTTTTTGCTCCGTTGTGGCTTCCCTAGCGTACCCTCCTTGCTCATCCACGCTCGACAGGTTGACAAATAGCAATCTTATACGGGTACGGTGGTGGACATGCCGAAGATACAGACAAGCTTACATCGTAGGCACAGCGCATCTGAAAGGAACATGATGTCGTACAGTACTTCGTCCATTCACTCTTGCTATTCCCTCAGCCTCTGTTTACTCAAGATAACATACTCATTTCTCCACAATTCTGCTACCTGATTCATCGTCGAAGAAATCGAATACCCGGTCCAACCTAATGACAACCTATGACGGCGCAGTTACGCGGAAGTGTCAGACCCTAAAGTGAACTTTGTCTGGCTTTGATAACCTATCATACCGGCGTAAGACCTTTAGCGATATAGGATAGTTCGTGAGCATGTTAGTATGGCCATTGTAATTTTTGCGGCTTGATTATTACTCTTGATATAAAGAGTGACGTCGAGCAGATATAACACGAATATGATAAACATTACACTAAGATATAACATCGACCTCAGTCAAAAGGTATTCTTCTCAAACTCTCCACCTGTCCCCTCTTCCGCATTTCCTCCGCCGCCGCCAGACTACTCGGCACCTTGATACCGCAGCAATCGCCCCAGCCAGTCGGCTGATGAACATGCCTCTTGCCATCACTATCGTCGTACACCTCCACCTCGCCGCCCTCCTCTTCATTCTCCTCGCTACCCAAGGCATTGGGATCTTGTTCGCTCATACCCTCCGCCGCAGGAATTAGCGATCCGAACAAGAAATGCTGCATAACCGGTAACTTCTTCAGCACCTCCGAAACAAACATCCTCCTCATGCCGCCCTCAATTTTCTCCCAATTTTTGGCGCTACTGATATCATCCAGCATCGGACTATGCCACCTCAAACCTTTCACCGTCTTGGTGCTATTGACAAACGCCACCTGGCCCAGGTACAAAAAGTCATGCCCGAACTCCTCCAGCGTCAGCTCCTGATGGATCGCCCGTGGCGTGATAAAGTGGTGATGCAACAGCTGGCTGGCACCAAACAGAAATGGCAAGAACTGGTAGTCGTCCAGCCCCCACACGCCGTGCGAGCCTGCTGGCTCGAGATAGTACGTCATCTGAATCAGGCGCATAACTTCTAGGTAGCGGGCGAAGATGCGGAGCACGACGGCTTTGAAGTCAGATTGTTCGAGGACCGAGAGCTGGTACAGGCACAGCAGCCACATGATGAAGTTGAGCTCGTGACCCGAGCCGTAGTCGATGCGCGTGCGGTTGCCGAAGGACTGGTTGAGGTAGGCTGAGGCTTCAGTGACGGCAGCGTCGGGAAGTTTGCCTCCCAAAAAGGCGGCGTGCCATTGATGTCCGCGCTGCTTGACCTTGTCGAGAAAGAGACGGAAGGTCTTGTTGCCGAAGCGGGAGCCGCCTTGGTCGTCTGGTGGCGACTCTTTGCACAACGCTTCGGTCTCGTCAAGGATGCGAAGGATGGCCTTCACGGGCTCGCTTAGGTCAGAGTCCTTGATAGCCGAGATGGGCGTGTCGGCTACGGATTCGGAGAGGGAGAAGACGAAAGAGAGGATGAGATTGTAGGAGGGAGAGGCCAGGAAGAGCTCGTGGTCTTTTCGGAGAAGAATCCGCCGGACGGGCGTCTGGAACTCCAGAGTGGATGGGTTAGGGCGCGGAGGTAGGGCGGGGGTTTCTGGGACCGGAGTCGGGTTCGATGGTTCCTGCTTCCGTCGCCTGGGCTCTAGCTTGGGGATACGGTCTCGTAGATTCGGGATGGCCTGGCCGGCTTTGGAGATGGGTTGTCCTGGAGCTGCTGGCGATCCTTGGCCGGTGCCTATGCTTGACCTTCCTGTTGTCGCGGATGATTCCATGATGGATGAAAGCTGGATGTACTAAGCAGTGTGAAGGTGGGCTTCTCCGTGGTCGATATTGCAGTTGACCGTACTCGGTGTTTTATATAAGATGACTGATGGAAGCTGGGGAGATTGGTTCCGTGATGTAGGTGGAAGGGTCCGAGTGTGGATGTTGGAAGGGAAGTTTACCTACCTACCCTAACGTAGTGACGGGCAATCCCCTGGACGCTGTGAGCATTCTAGTCTACCCCGCCGTAGAGCCATCGTGGGGCAGGCAAAGTGCTGACGGCGGAAAGCGTAATGGCGTTCTTTGGCTGGGCTGCAGCTTTCTGAAAGCTTGGCAGGCACTGCGGGCCCGCCGCTGGAAAGGAACGGAGTGGGGTCACCTCAAAAGCTAGCGCCCGGGCTGCAGATCCCGTCGAGGAGGAACGACCCGCCTTCAACATCCCGCCTTCAAATCTTCACTCGCGCCTCAGAAACAAGCTCGCTCACCACTTGATTTCAACCGCCGTCCGTCAACCAAATTCTAAGCCCCGCCTACCGTCACACCGACCCAAATTCTACTCACATCATGGTCACCGTGGCACCTGAAGCGTCTCTCAACGCCCTGCCCCGGGCGGATGGATCGGCCAGATACTCATATGCTGGGTACACGGTCACGGCCTCTGTTAATGGACCCATCGAGGCTCAGCGTCGGGACGAACATGCTTACGAGGCTCACGTTGATGTAATCGTACGACCCTCTGCGGGGGTAGGAGGTGAGAACATCATAATGGCACCACCACCCACGCGAAGGACTACATCTCACCTACTTTACTTTTCTATATAGGAACACGAGAGCGCCATCTGGAATCAATTTTGCAGTCCTCTCTTTCTCAAATCATCCTTGTCAAGAACTTTCCCCGTTCCGTCATCCAAATTGTTCTTCAAGTTGAGAGCACGCCTGAAAATGCTTACGTCAACACAAAACTGGTCCAGGCCAGTTTGGTAAGAGAATTCGAACCATTTCTCCCTCTGTCGGTAGGCTATAACTAATCCTGGCAAAAGAACCTCCCCATCATACCGGCCTTGTTCCAGACTGCCGTTCTTGCTCTTCTATCGGCTGCTGTGCCAATGAAGGCAACCGCTACATCCACAGTCGTGGCGGTGGTATCCGACGACGGTTCGAAGAAGATCGTGGCTGATCCCTCCCCCAAGGATATCAGAGAGGCAACCTCGCTACACGTCCTTGCTTTTACCTCGCACGATGAACTTCTTCTTTCAGAAAGCGAAGGCGACTTCACCGTCAAGGAATGGGATGGCGTTTACGAAAATGCCCAAAAGATTTGCTGTCAGACTGCCTCAAAGCAGGACGGTATCGATATGATGCTTGACGATGACGCGTCCAGCCCAGATATGGGCCATTTCCTTCGGTCGACGCTGGAGACCAAAGTAGCATCCGACCTCCACTGGAAGTGAAGATACATTCGGTCTCGGACTGTCTGCTCGTATCTCGTGCGTTTCAAAAGCCGAAGGGTTGAACAGTCGGCTCATGATGTTTCCGGAATGAGAACTCATAGGCCTTTTCGCCGGTTGACGGGACAAGTGCAACTTGCAATGCGACTCGATAATCCTTATCCGCGGCAAAAAGCCTGTCTGGACGGATACGAACCAGACACGTTGCAAAGATAACCGCTACCCTCTCGGCACAATCACACATCACTCGGCAAAGTGGAGATTGTGATGGCGTTGGATATCAATCAGCGCAACGGAGTGGATAACGATCTCGAGCGAGATTTTACGTGGATTATGCACGGGTTCCTTTGACAAAACATCGCCACTTCAAACGCACAAGAGGTGGGTCCGACATAGGGGTTATGTTTGAATATTCCAGGCCAGGGCCAGACCCCTGTTTCATGTCGCCTTTCCCAGGCACTGATGTCACGGGGCATTAAGGTCTTGGTGTCCCGGGTGTGACTGAAGAACCAATCGACAAGATTAGAACGGATATTATGAGTGCTTTCAATAAGGCACTGGGGCTGTGGGAGTTATCTAATCCGAATGATGGAGCCACGCAGCTGTGAGCCTCGAGCTGATGGTTTGGTGCCCCTGCGTTGGGCTTTTCGAAAGCGTCTATTCTTCGCCTCCCTATGTGTCAGGCTTGATCTTATGCAACACGCAATTCTTAGTCCCATTCCGACTCCTTGACTATTGGTTGTGTTCGCCATCTTTCTAGCTGTCTACGCGGCTTGGACGGCATCAATGCACAACGGCCTTTGTCTGATTCGAGCGGGTCAAACAGAGCTTCACGGAACACCACATCGGGCTGTCATGAAGATGTGCAGTGTAAGTTTGTGCAGTGAGAATAGCGAAACGAAAGCGCTTGTGTTGTGATGCAGATGCTGAATACCGCAAAGGCATATTGATTGATGCAGAATCGAGCTTTGCTACCCTGCCTTGCCTGCGCCCTGGCCGGAGACGGACTGTCGGCGTCCTTCGGCAACCTGTGCCGGGAGATGCTGTCTGAGCGGCTGAGCTAGCGCCTGTACCCCGGACGTTCGCCTCCAAAACCCCAGCAGTACCAGGATACATGAGACGTAACTTAACACCTCGAATTTCAGTCTACCATGCTCTGGACCCCTCCTCGCATCACAATGGGAAAAGGGGTGGGAGGACTGATGAGAAGCTTCGAGGTACGCCAGAATCCCCGAGGACGCCTCTGTCACAAGCACTGGGACCATACAAGAGATTGGAGAAGCTGAAGGCACTAGTACATACACCGTGCTGTATCCATATTCTCCTGCAGATACACCCATCTTGACACACCTGCTTCCGCGTTTCGATACCCGCCATTGCAGCTCTTTGTATAATGCTGTAACCCAAAGGAAACCGCACAAGAACGTCCCCAAACTTGAGTCCCAAATTAGAACAGCTATACATATGTAATAGTGTACACATAAGTGTTTGGTGTACACATTCCGGGGTAGCCTAGGAGCTCCAACTCCACCCCTGTGCCGCATCCGGAATGCATCGAACAGCTCCGTCCTGATCTCACAGATTGCGACCCGCCGAAACGTCTACTACTAGGTAGTGTACACTACCTATCACCGGCGCCCCACTTCTCTCCCGGATTTGTCTCGTGGTATTAAATCACAAGCACGACTGATGTTAGTTATACTGCCTTCATCGTCTGCTCTTCATTCGTGTGCATATTTGCTACTTTCGCTGTCTATACCCTTGATTCGAGGACTTCCATTCTCTCTGCATCTGGATGCAGGCTACATTGTCAGAACTCTGGTAGTTCTCACTGTCCTATCTCTATCACTTCTTTTAATACTTCTACTGTTCACAGTTCTCCGTTGGATTCCCAGACGAGTTCGAGTCATTTGACGGTCCACTTACTGTCCTAATCACGTCGAAGAACTACCACGGCACAAGTCTATCGATTAATCTTGGAACTTCTATTCTCATACCCGCACCCAACTAAGACTATTGATAGCTGCATATCAAACCCAGGTACTTTTGCCCTTTCACCTTCTCTGCAGTCTCGGCCTTTCTCTCACATCAAGCGCCATGTTGGCTACAACTTGGGGATGATCGAAAGTCTGGGCGAGTCTCGACCAGGATACCCCGAAAACCAACGGACCCGCTAACTGCTCGTTCACAACTTACCAGATTTGCCTCTGTCCTCGACCCTTCTTTGGCCCATTGTGTAGATTGACAGCGCCATCACGTTAGAATTGATTACAAAGCCAAGCTTGCAGCGAATCTCGAGACGCAAGACAACCGCCGCCGCTGTTTGATCTGTTTCCCAGACACTTTGTACTTGCTCGTGTTTGCGTCCAGGCACAGACATCTCGCTTGGAACACAAGCAGCTAAACTATCTTGGGAACGTCGCAATTCGTTCCAGCGCCCGATTTCGCCGCGTTGCATTCACCGTTGCACCGATAAGATTGCGTTGCAGCAGGTCGCATCTCACACAGACCTTTGCCTTTGTTCTGGTTCCGTGCGATCCGATAAGTCAATCGGAACGGCCCTTGCACTAATCACACACTGTACGGACTACTCACTCCAACGGTGACTTTACCCCATACTCAACCCTACAATCGAAGGGGGGCGTTTTCCCAGTGCGGCCTTCCACTGGCTACTTGCGATCTCGAATCACTCACCAACTCGACCGGACTTTTTTTTCCAGCAGTGAGCTGAGCCGGCGCATTTCGTACCTGGCTACCGGACAAAGAACTGGCTAAACTTGGGCTGCGGCAAAGCAAAGCGGACGATCTGCCGAAAATAGACAACGACATCTTCCACTACGGTAGCACCTGCACCAGAGACAGCTCCCACCGATATCGATCGATCCACCCAACACAATGCCGTTCTCTAGCAGAGAACCTGTCAACATGCCGCTGCCGGCCCCAATCCTGTCACCCACAGCGATCCACCCCGCGCTGAGCGATTCGGCCACCTCGCCTGCGCCTGGGAGTGGGAGTGCTGGGACCTCTCATCCCAACGCCCAGAACCGTTCCTCTGACTCTCCTCACCCACCATCTTACCCACACCCGCTCCTCCTTCCGCTCCCACGCACCCGCCCGTCGTTCGCATCCTTGGATCAGTGTGCCTCCGATGGAGTTCCCCAGGCACGTTTCTCCGATGATGCTGACCGCCCAAAGAGTTCATATGCAACTCTAGGACGCGCATCAACTTTGGATTGCGCGATCTCCGACGCAGATACTGCAGCTGGAACCCCCAATCTCCGACATGAAGGCCTGGACTCTGTGACACCCAGACAGACTCCCAAACCTGCATTCGCTTCTCCCTTTATCTCGCTAGATACCCCCGTGCAGACGGACTACAACCCGGTGCGAACCGCGCTCTCTCCCGCTTCAGCGTCAGCCTCCACCTTCGCTCACTCGCAACCACCACCCCACGTTCCCGGACATAAGAAGAACGCCCTGTCGATTGAGTCTGTGCCCCGGCAGACTATTATGAAAGCATTGGCATCGGTGGCCCGCAACAACAGACCTGAGCCTCTCTCTCTTTCCGGCATGCTGTCCGCACACAACATGCCTCAGGACGGCGACAACCGTCCCTCCACTTCGTCGTCGCAGAAGCTGTGCGATGCCCTCAACGGCATTGCTCTCTCCGGCAGCACTTCGCTACAGTCACCATGCTTCTACCACAACCGCTTCGACGACGCGGTCGACATCGACAAGGTGCTGGAGGAGATCAAGAACGATGAGTGGATGTCGCATTCTCGTCTTGTTCAGACGGCCACTGGTGTACGAGAAGTGTCCAAGCAGCTTCAGCGACGGCCCATTCGACGAGCCGTCAAGAATGTTATGATTGTCACCAAGGCCCGCGACAACCAGCTGGTTGTCCTCACCCGTGAACTAGCCCTCTGGCTTCTCCGAACCCCCCGTTATGGCTCTGATCTGGGAGTAAACGTCTACGTTGACGCCAAGCTTCGAAATTCGAAACGCTTCAACGCTACGAGCATTACCGACGAGAATCCACGCTTCCAAACCATGCTCAAATATTGGTCACCGGACCTTTGCTGGAGTCAGCCCGAAAAGTTTGATCTGGTGCTCACTCTGGGCGGTGATGGCACCGTGCTCTTCACATCTTGGTTATTCCAGCGTATTGTCCCGCCAGTATTATCATTCAGCTTGGGGAGCCTGGGCTTCCTGACCAATTTCGAATTCGAGAGATACAAGGATCACCTAAATCGCATCATGGGTGACGAAGGTATGCGCGTCAACCTGCGCATGCGCTTCACATGCACGGTATACCGGGACGGGCCCCTCGGACAAGAAATGGAGGAAGGGGAGCAGTTCGAAGTTCTCAACGAGTTGGTCATTGACCGAGGACCGTCGCCTTATGTGTCCAACCTCGAACTGTACGGTGACAACGAGCTGTTGACCGTCGTCCAGGCGGACGGTTGCATCTTTTCTACTCCAACTGGTAAGTCCAACCACAGTGATGAGCACAAGCAAAGCAGATCTGGCGCTAACGTGATTCTTCTTAACCTAGGCTCAACAGCATACTCCCTCTCCGCCGGCGGCTCCCTCGTCCACCCCGACATCCCCGCCATCCTTCTCACGCCTATCTGCCCACACACGCTCTCCTTCCGACCCATGGTCCTCTCCGACACCATGCTCCTCCGCGTCACCATCCCGCGCAACAGCCGCGCAACCGCCTACTGTGCCTTCGATGGCAAGGGCCGCGTCGAGCTCCGCCAGGGTGATAGCGTCACCATTACTGCCTCCCAATACCCTTTCCCTACAGTCGTCCGCACCGACGCCGAGTGGTTCGACAGCGTCTCTAGAACATTGCGGTGGAACACGCGCGGCGCGATGCAAAAGGCCTTTGACGCTTCCTCAGGAGGGACTGGAAGCGATGCGGGTGGGGAACAGGAGGAGGAAGGGTGGGATATTGATACTGATTCGGCTTGTTATGCGAGCGAGGAAGGGAGCGTGAGTGCGAGTCCGTTGAGGAGGCAGATGAGTCTTTTGGGGATGTGAAGCACATGATTTTCTTTGTTGTATACAAAAGAGTGAAGAGGACGTTGGATTCTTTGGAAAGAAGCAATGTGTTTCGAGAAGGCATAAGCGATGGAATTTTTTCTCCTTCTTTTTATTCCCCCCCTTTTTCCATATCTCATCAATGGGGGACGAGATATTCTGACTGAGGAAAGACAACAAGAATAATGAAGCAGGAAAGAGATCAGGCATGGGGAGGATAGAGGCACATCAATGCACGTGTTAAGGGATTGGGTTGAAGTTCTTGAGCTGAATTACAGTACACAGCGCCCAACAGCTCTACATGCGCTTTGATTAGAAATCTTTGGAAGGCAATGGATATACAACTGGCGTCTACGGCGTTTTCTAGATCATTTCTTTTTTGGCCTATATCAAAGGAGTGGACAGAATAACAAGATTTTCCTGAACAATGAACCCCAACGGAAGATTTCAGTGATCTCTGAATTTCTGGTGCTTTAATAGCCAGATTATGTAATCTAGGTACGCATTCCGGCGCGCCACGCCTGGTATCGTTGGAAACCCTCATTACATTTTACTCATGCAAGCCAATACGTCAGGAAGCGTTCGGTCAGGCATGATGTGCGCGCGCGCATTTTCACTATTTGCTTTATTTTGTCGATCCTCACCGTACACCAATGTACCTCTGTACATCGTCAGGGGTCGCATTATCAAGCATATCTCTGGTATATCTGATTGGTTTACAAAGATATTCACATAGGGTTTCCCTTCCTCGTCCGTTTACTCTTATACAGGACCGAGTATATACAGACACGCGCCGGCTCAAATATGGTGCGTATGAATGCAATGAAAGAGCAGCGTCCTCCACTCCCATTCCTGTTATTGTGTCATGGCAACTGAACGCCGGGCAACCGGAAACTTGCAAAACGTGTTGTTGACACGAACTTGACATGTAATATAGCACAAAGGCACCAGATAAGTCCGCCAACAGCAACTTCGCTTAGCCGCCCGAAGCAAATCCGCACTGAAGCGTCGACTGGGAGATGTAATGAAGTTCGGCAGATCTCCAGACAGGCCGGAATCACCGCCAGTTCCCCTGACTCAATGAAAGCAGTCCGGCAACAGCATCCGCATCCCCCTTCTTACTCGGACTAATTTCGCCACGCATAAACCGCTCGACCTCGTCCGAGCCATCATCCTCGAAAGGAGGAGCACGACGGGAAGCGGTGGGAGTGTTATGTTGCGTCGTCGCAGCAAAGTCTTCGTAAATCCTCAGCTCAGAACCTCCTCCGCCACGTTTATCTCCTCCACGGCAGTGCTGTCCCCTACCACCACCGTCAAGAGGGCCGGTGTTGGTACGGTTTCCGGATAATGAAAACGATGGGCTGGACTCTATTAGAGCGTGGCGGGCCGGTGTTCGGCGGGGATTCGTCACCTTGTCGTGAATTGACGACGACAAGGGACCGGAAGGGAGGAGTCGCCGGTTTGTTGGTCGAATGGCGGATGAAGGTTGGTGGTAGGAAAAGCGAGGGTTTCCGTTCTCGTCTGGGCTCCAGTTCTCCTTGTCGGACTCGTTGCCTTGTGGGGAGATGAACAGGGATGAGGACTTGGGTTTGGTGTTGTGACTGAAATCCGCCGGCGTGTCTGCTGTAAAAGACTGTCTCTTTCCCGCCCAAGTGTTGTTATTGTTGGGCGTCACTAGCCTTCCGGTGGCATCCAGCCCTTTTGTCAGTCGGGGCTTCTTGGTCGAACTGTCCGCTCGGGGAGTTATCTGGCTAATACTGGCGTTACGCTTGTTGCTCCTGCTCAGTTGCAATGGGCTGCCGCCGGCGGTACTGGAAGTCGTCGACCGCAGCAGACTGATGGCTGCAATTGCTGAGCCACGACTCTCGTGCTTGGCTTGCACCGTCAGCGCGTCTTCGCAGTTTTCCGCGTCACAAGCGAACTCCCAGGCATGAACGTCGCGAGACCTTCCGCGTGCAAGGCGAGGCAGCAATGGGACAGCATTTTGAGATGAAGGAAGACTACTAGTAATGGTGGAAATGGGTGGTAAAGTAACTGGAGATTCACTGGGGCCACGTTGGTAGCTGGGCCGGCATGCCGAGTCAAATGATTGCAGCTCTGATGGCGGGAGGCTGGCAGGATTCTGTGGCGGGGAGGTGATAACTTCTGCCTTGCCGTCCAGACCCGTCGACAGGCGCGGACGGAGCGCAGAGGTCGAAGACGAACATGATGAAGGAGGGAAGTTGTTGAAGGAATCGTCTCCTCGGTCAAAGCTGATAGGCGTTGATAGAACGTGGGAGTGGGCTGGGTAGTTCCATCGGCTGGACAGATAGCCAACCGAGCTCGGCAAATGCTGAGACATTAGGAGGGAGTCGTCGTCACTGGCGTGTCTTTGCTTTTGGGCAGGAGTCGCGTATACAGGGTGAGGCAAGCTTTGTTGCTCCTCTTGAGGTTGGATTTGCGGTTCTGGTAGAGGGAGAGTGTCCTCCTGGAGCGTGTCTTCGTGGTTCTGCTCGGTCTCGTGGTCGTCGAGTTTGCTAGGCGAGGCAACCTCCCGAGGCGAGGAGTATTCCTGATCTAAACTTGAAACAGCCTGGATGGGCGAGGTATTCTCCGGCTCGGAGGTGTACACAGGAAGGGTGTTGTCTGAGGACAGTATTTGCATGCCGCCGTATCGAAGCGCGGCTATCTCCTGAGGGGACAAGGGACGTGATTTCCTGCGATCGTTTTGTCGGCGGTTTTGGAACCAAATCTGGCATGCGCGTTAGCTTAGCTCTGTTGCGCGCGGTGAACCTATTGGTGGTGACGTTATGGCTAACCTGAACTTCTTTTTCATTTAAGGAGACGCGGTTCACGATGTCTTGACGCGCTGCCTTGTCGGGTTTGGGGTTCGCATTGTAGGCTGCCTCGAGTATGGCTTTGTCTTTTGCTCTGCGAATCGCAGTCCGGTTAGTCCCACGTGTTGTCGCAAAGATGGGATGGAAGAGCTCGGCAGCCGGCCCCGAAGCCGGTTGGACCCAAACTTACGTAGTTCGTTTTCTCTTCCCCTTTGGATGTCTCTCCACTTCTCCGGACGGCTGTGACGAGAGCTGTGGTGCTGGAGTTTGCGATTCTCTCAGCAATGGGGATTCGAAGACTTGGTTTTGACTGGTACTCTGGGAGAGCTCTTCATGTTCCACCTCGTGGGCGAGGCCAGGTACAGCGGAGGAAAGCTGAGGAGAGGGCGTGGAGGGTGTTGGGGCGAGAGTGTCCATTTCGGTTGGCGAGTGCAGGCCAAAACAATATATGGTGAACCGATCAATGCATACTCCTGCTGGGAAACTGTTCACCGGTCTGCGTCACGTCGGTGACTTCGTATGGTGTCTGTTGGGATCAATGGCGTCGGTATAGGTATGTTCTCCGAAAACAACGAACCAACGTCAAAGGTAACACGATAGTCCCCTACTGGGTATAAGACGAGAAGACGTGTACCCAAGAAAGGGTATAGACCAAAAAGTAAAGTTTGAGAAAGTTGGAAAACTGCAAAAGGTAAGTAGAATGCAGCTAAAGGCGCAAGAAGACGGGTAATGGCAGTGCGTAGGGGGGTTGGAGGATGGTGATTAAAGACATGCAATAGTAGGTAGGTACTTGACGTAGAGGGAAACGGTTATGGGGAATCTTTAACGAACCGCACCGCGTCTTCAACGCGGCATGTCGTGTAGTCATCCGAAATAGGAAATTAAGTGAGCTGGGGGTTAGGGTTATCCCTCGACCACAAGCGCACCTTAGTCGCTAAGCCGTTTATTTTTTCCCCCGATTTCGCGCTTCACGCAAGGGGACTTCGGCGCTAGCTATAGTGTAAAGTGCATGTCAGATCAAATTTGCCCCATCCTGGACCATTTTAACGCGGCCTTTTTGATTCGACGCGCCTTTTCCCAATGTCCCGTTGTCCGGTTCGATATGTCCTTGCCCTTTTGCATCAGACCTTACGACAAAGTTGTTCCTAAAGTGCAAAACTCGAACTTTCATTATGCATTGAACACCTCGTAGCTGCTTGGCAGTAACACGAACCCCAAACCCGGCATTACTCTCAAGACATGTTCTCCATTGCAGCCAGTGAGCAGTGATGCTCTTTGTCACACCCAGCATCCGTCACTTGTCCCAACTAGAACCTCAACTAATCGGTAGATGGTATCCCAACCAGGTACAACAACAACAACAACAACAAAAAAAAAAAAAAAAAAAAAAAAAAAAAAAAAAAAAAAAAAAGCATAATTATGTATATAACTTCCCCGACACCTACAATACGTGTTCATATCTCCTCCAAGATCAAACTCTACCTAAGTCCCAACACCAGCGGCAGTAGAAACCTCCGCCATGGCAAGCAACCATTCCCTCCTCTGTGGATTTGCAACCTGCCGCCTAACCCTCAGTTTCCCACCTGTCCCCTCCTAGGCTCTACCCTCACCACCATCAACACAACCATCAACATCACCAAACAACTCCCCCAACCCATCCCTCAGCGCCCGGACTCTATTAACAGCGACTTTCCGTTCCCTCTCAAGCTCTTCGATCCTCGCCTTCAGCTCCACCTCCTTGGCTTCCCTAGCCTTGAGCGCTGCCCTCGTCATGTCGCGCCCCCGCTCGACGCCGCGCATGCGCAGTGCATACGTGTTAAGCTTGTCGCGGATGGCTTGGCGGGTTGCGTCTGAAACTCCTTTTTCGCTCGAAAGGAGGCTGAGGATTGAGGTGGTGATTTCATAGTCGTCGCATGACCCTGGCCCCGTCGTCGTCGTGGTGGGTCTACCGATACCGCCGCCTGTGGGGGTGGTTTGGTAAGAGCGGCCTTGGGTTTGGCTCAGATTTGTAGATGTTGTCAGATTTGTTGTTATTATTGATGGTGGTGGCGATGGCCCTCTGGTATCGGAGAGCCTGACGCGTTTTGCTGCACCGGGTTCAGATGCTGAGGTTGTGGTGTTCCCTCGTGAAGTTGGGGTCAGCATAGAGGCAGAGGCATCATATGTCCGCTGTGGGTTCGGGGTGCGAGTGCCGGGGTGTGGCATCGCCGTCCTCGTTATGTTGCTCGTTCGTGCTTGGGATAAGGCCGGCGCTGGGACGTTGGTCCCCCTGCGTTGCTGTTCTTGACTCGGATGGGGAGGATTTGATTCCAAAATTTGAACCAGCTGCCTTTCCTCGTCCGACTCAAGGTCGCCGTACTCCTTCTCTTCACACATCGTCGCCGTCGCCGTCGCCGGACGCTTCCTCTTGGAAGGCTTGATCGCCGATATCCCGCTTGCACTGCCGTCCATGTCTTCTTTCTTCACCTTCACACTGTCCAAATCGTCATCAACCGTAGTATCTGAAGCCCAGCCGTAGGCTTCCACTTCGTAGCAGCCGAAATAAGGTTCGTCGACAAAATGCAAACCTTCGCCGTAAGGGGGAAACCAAGGAAGTCTCGGCATCAGCTCTCTACTTGTAAAGTCCGGCACGTACTCCGAATGCTGTATCACCGGCCTCGATTCCGCCTTCTTCTCCCGCTCCTGCGCTGTCTCCTCCCAAAGAAAGAACCCACACTGGCCCGGAATCGCTCCAAGGTCCCGGGGCTCTCGACACGTGTAGAAGAACCTGCCCTGATTAGGTCCTTCCTTCTTGACTTGAAGTCGAATTGCCAACTGCGGCCCATTTATACAACTGCCTATTATGTGCAACGCGAGTTGTGAGCAAACATGTCTGTCAACCTGACCTACCGGCCGTACTTGGCTGGGATTCAAAAACTCACAGTACCATCTTCCTTGCTCTCGATTATAGAATCCGGGATGAGGATTCCTGAAGAATCCGTTACCTCTGCCCATGGTTAAGGGACGCTACACAGGTATTATCTCTCCCAGGTGAGGGGCTGGATGCCCCCAGATATCTGTTCTCAGTGTGCTCAGGTCTCTCGATGAACCTCGCCCCTTAAAGTAGTCTTCCTGGCGAAAATACCTCGCTGGGCTGTGAGTGATGTTCAGAGGTTAAGTCGCAGTGATTCAGAGAGCAGAATATAGCGATGTTTGAATGTAGCTAAGATGGCCCATCTTTCATTCCCGGTAGCCTGAAACGATCAATCGAAGGGTGTCGAGATGAGCTGAGGTCACGGTGACGCTACTAAAAGATTGACTGGCATGTGCATATGAGCCGCATCAAAGAGCAACCTCTTCGCTTTCCTGGCCAGTTAGCTGTCAGGTAGGTACGGGCGTAGCTCACGCAGAGTGGTTGGTGTTAGCAGTTGCTTTGCACTAACAGGTTTATCCGCACTCATAAGCTCCCGCCGCAGGATAAAGTACCTCTGTGTACAGTGCAGGGGCACGTGCGCCTGTCAGAGCTGACGGAAATCAGGGGCAAGCCCCACCGTTCCTGTCCTCCAGCTGATGATGTTTCTCCTTCGATCTACTATGTAGATCAGACCTTTGACAGCAAACTTTACATGCGTCATGCAAATCTTCCACGGTCATCATCTGCATGAATGCACTGGCGTAGGGAGGCCTTGTGGTCCAGAAAATTATCTTTTAGCAAATACTTCTATGATATAATACAGTATGATCAACCCTCAAACAAACCGAAAGCTCCGCGTGGAGTGAGAAGCAAGGTAGAATAATGTAGATAGAACAAGATAATATAAAAACGGGATCTTGGGTATAGTGACAAAGGTGATGTAAGCATGAAGAAAGAAGGTGGAACAAAACGGAGCGCGTTGGAGTTCCAACGGAGATGCCTGTGGACGAGAATGGGAATGACATCCGTCCAGTCCAGCATCAGATAAGACGGAATCTGGAAAAGACATGAAGGGGGACTTTGGAGGAAACGGAAACCGTCGACAAAGTCCAACCATTAGCTCAGATCTCATAGTAATAATCCTCATCCAGCCCCTCCCGACTAGGCACCTGACCAGCGCCCGGGACCGGTCCATTATCGACCGCCTCAGCCCTAACATTGAGCAGACGTATTTTGAGGCCGTACTCGCTCACCAGCGTGACGAGCTTGTTAGTCTCGGCCGTAATGGGTGCCTGGTTGAGGAGCATAAGCAGGCCATCGAGCCACTCCGATGCCAAACTGTGGTTGAGGGGATGGAGCGTCAGGATCGGCTGCTCCTTGGTCTTGCCTGCCGCGGCAAGGCTGGCCAGCTCTGGTGACACATTCTCGGAAAGGCTGTAGATGGTGATCTTCGTTGTCGATTTAGCCGTTGCCGACGCGGAATTGGCGTCCTTGGTGAGACTTGTCAAGCTTGACGACGCCTGGTTTCCGTTTTCTCCTGCTGCTGCAGCATCATCCGCGTTGGAGACGTTCGATACCACCGAGCTGGTGGAGAGCAAATCGATCTTCTCCGTCAAAGCTTCTAGACCAGGATCGTGTGCTGTCTGTTCGGCAAAGTCGGCGTAATGAAGATATCGCCTGTTGTGCGAAAGCTTTGCGAAACGCCAAGGCTGGTACAGTCGGCTACCCTTTTCTTGTCCGGGTTTGAGGCTTTCTGACCTAGAGTGATCTGATCGATGAGGCTGAGGCTTGGAGAACCACGAACCTTGCAAAAGACAACGAATACGCTGCTCTTTGACGAACTGCAGTGCTTCGTGCTTAAGTTCTTCACGAACCTGGAAGAGATGGGGACCCCATTGATCCTCGAATGAGAGCTCTAGTAGATCCATCTGCAGCTCTCGTAGCCTTCCGGAATCATACTCATGCAGTTCATCTTCAACCTCCAGCACGTCCTTGCTCCTGCTGGCTTGCCCAACCACTTGATCGATCAAGATCCGAACGAGCTCTGCTACCTTGTCGAAATCGTATCGAGTCGCCCCAGTCGCCTTCCACATCCGGAAGAAGGCATGTAGGCCCGCGGTGTGTAGTCGTGACCACTGAAGCAACAGTGGGCGGAAGAGTTTGTCATGGGCTTTGCCGCCTCCGTCGATAAGCTGGTAGTAGCCGCCGTTTCTGATATCGTCCAGATCGCATTTCTCAACCTCAAAGTGCTCATACAATATCATCGTCACGGCCAAACTAGCCCGCGCCACGGGGCATCGTTCGTTGAGCGGTCTGCTAGACTGCTCGAGCAGCAGCTTCTGGAAGCCATCCTCGTTTTTGCGCACGTAGTCTGTCAGGTCCATCATGCCTAGGAAGCCGGCCACTTCGAACTCGGATGCGGGTGATTCTGTTTCGAAGCCTAACCTCCTCCACTTCTCGGGGTTATGTCGTCGGCTTGATTTCCTCCCCGCTGCAGTCTCACCGCCGGTTTCCTTTTCTCCCTCTTCCCTGGCCACAATTGTCGCGGCCGTTGATGGTCTTCCTGTGGGGGACAAGGTCGTCATGCCTCCGTTAATCTGCCGTCTTTCCGGTGCGCTCGCAAGATGTAAACCCTTCAGCGCTCTCCTGTGCTCTGGCCGCTCCAAGT